CTTAGCAAAGTCAGTTACAAAAATAATTTTAATTAAAGAAGATTCGCTGACCAACGATAGGATCAATTTAGATGAACATATCCAGATATTTTTTGTTAGTTTCAAGCTCTAACATAGGGGAGACCGGGGATGGTTGTTACAGGGGTTGATTGTTACAGTGCGTTTTACTACTACCGTACAGATGGCAGCAGCTTCACGACATTTTCAGGAAGGGCCGCCCGTCTAGTCTGTCGCCTCCTAACATAATTCAGTTTCGCGCATGTGGTATGTTGCTTTCGTTGTTTTCGAGGCTCTGGAGAAATTTGTGTTATTGAAAAATATTTGTTTATGGAGTTGCCTGTGGTGGTGAAAACCACTTTATGAGGTGATCAATTTATAATATCAGGTTAGTAATTTTATAATGTATTGTTTTTATTCGGCTGATTATAATGTTCACAAAAATATTTGAGAAAAAAACAGAAAATGGCGGATGGGGTTGGTTGTGACACCTTCAACGGGGCAGGTTGTTACTGTCACAACCTACCCCATGAAAAATTCTATTGGTGCGTTTAACATAATAAAAATTGTTTTAGACAGATAATGAGGAACTATATTCGCAAAACCGGAAGGGGAAAAACACCTGTAGATGTTTTTGAACGAGCTGCTAATGAGGTTCTTGTAAACAAGAAGTCCCTACGAACAGTAGCTGCTGATTTTGAGATAAACCATATGACTTTACAGCGATTTTGTAAAAAATAGTAACAGACTGGCCTTTGAATTTGCTGTAAAAAATAATATCGCTGTTCGCCCCAACTGGAATGAAAATAAAATGGCATCTGATGACTGGTTGACAAGTTTTCTTAAACGTCATCCACGATTATCTCTCAGGGTTCCCGAGGCGACTAGCCTTGGTCGAATTACCAGCTTTAACAAGACAAATGTTTCTGCATTTTTTGACTTGCTGGAAGGAGTGGTTGATCGATATAAATTTGAACCACAAGACATCTATAATGTCGATGAAATGGGTATAACAACTGTGCAGAAGCCAGATAGAGTCGTTGCTAGAAGGGGAGCTAAGCAGGTTGGGTTTGTAACATCTGCCGAAAGAGGAACCCTAGTAACATTTTGTTTTGCTATCAGTGCTAGCGGCAATTCAATCCCTCCGATGTTCCTGTTTCCGAGAAAAAACTACAGAGATCATTTTGTGAACAATGGCCCTCCTGGCTGTATTGGAGCCGCCAATCTATCGGGGTGGATGACAGAAAACGAATTTTGTATTTTTCTGGAGCATTTTGCAAAACATTGTAGGTCATCTAAAGAAAAACCGGTTTTACTGTTACTCGATAACCATGAGTCACATCTTTCAGTAAAAGGCATTAACTACTGCAAAGAAAATGGCATTGTTATGATCTCCATGCCCCCGCATTGTTCACACAATACCAGTTGCGATTCCTGGATGCGCAATAATCCTGGCAAAACAATGACAATTTATGACGTACCTAAAATGTTAAAAAATGCTTTGCCTTTGGCTGCTACCCCGAAGATTATCCAGGCTGGATTTCAAATAAGTGGAGTTTTCCCCGTTAACAGAAACATTTTCACAGAGGATGAGTTTCTTCCTGCAGCTGTTACAGATCGTCCCAATCCAAATATTAAAAAACAAGTTCCAAACCAAGCCGAAACCCAGCAAGAAGCTCAGTTAACTGAACAAGAAAAAGCTCAATTAACTGAACGGGAAGAATCTCAAATAACCCCTCCAAATTCGCCGGTTGTGGTAAATTTACCTTCAGTTTTACGAGAGGTTAACAAAGAAATAGATGATTTACAAGTCGAGGATTTCCCTGGACCCTCTGGAATAAAATCGTACTTATCTCCACAGGATTTGCGCCCAACGCCCAAGGCAGAACCACGAAAAACAAACAGAAAAGGACGAAAACGGGGCCGCGCTGCCATTTGGACTGATACACCCAATAAAGAGGAAATTGAAAACGCATACAAAGAATAACAAATGAAACAAACTAAGAAAAAGGCAAAGCAATCAGGCACAAAAAGAAACATTTGTAAAAGTAAATCCAAACATATTCCATCAAGCAGCTCTGAGGATGAAGAAGTTTTTTGTCTTATTTGCAGTGAGCCATTTTCAAATTCTCGTCCAAAAGAAAAATGGGTGCAATGTACGGCATGCTCAAACTGGGCCCATCTGGAATGTACAGATAAAAATCCATGTTTTATTTGCTTAAACTGTAGTTCTGATGATGATATACTAAGTGACATATAAATCCGAACACTCAGTTTAAATGGTTTTATTTTAATAAAAGTTGGTGAATGTATTTATCTTACTGTAAATAACAAGTGAACAAATTTTCAGCCTTATCAGTTGGATATTCCGGTTTTTATACTGCTTTTTTTTAATTCACTAACGCTCTAAAAATGAATATTTCAGCCGCAGTAAAGAATCAACGTTGGCGGATTTTGGTTCTTGACATCCTTTACGATCGGTTACGATGCCTAGAGTACGGAGACCTGTACGATTTCGTCAACTTAGTGAGTTTGATAGGGGCCGTATAGTGGGACTTCGGGAAGCTGGACTTTCTTTTCGGGCAATTGCAGTTAGAGTGCAAAGAAGTGTAGACACTGTGGTTAGGTGTTGTCAGGCATGGCTTCGAGAAGGCCGTACGCAAAGAGCAGCGATATTGTTTAGGCATGCACGATGGTCGTGCCAGGGTTATAAGGCGACGTGGTGAAAGGAGGAAGCCACAGTTTTTTGTTGAAAGACATGTTCATCACACTGTTGGAGTTATGGTTGGGGGTGCTATAGCTTATGGTTCCAGGTCACCTTTAATCTTCATCAGAGGTAATATGAACGCGCAGCGTTATATCCACGAAGTTCTAGAACCCCATCTGTTACCCTATCTTGACACCCTGGCAGATCCAACTTTCCAACAAGATAATGCCCGACCACATGTTGCAAGAGTCAACATAGACTTCTTTCAACATAATGATGTCACATTGTTACCATGGCCACAAAGATCTCCCGACTTATCCCCAATTGAGCACGTGTGGAATATGATGGGTAGGAGATTGCTCAATTTGCAACGTCCTCCTCAGACTCTAGAAGCACTTCGAGAGGAGTTGGTGGTTGCCTGGAATGAGATACCACAGGAGGACATTGACCACCTGATCAGAAGTATGCCTAGGCGCGTTGGAGAATGCGTAGCACATCAGGGTGCATCCACACATTACTAAAGGTCAAAGGGCTTTAAAGCAGTGCAATCATTTTGAAATTTTTATCATTTACTTATTATGCTTCATTAAGTCGTAAGTACTTATACAAAATTTTATTAAAATAAAACCATTTAAACTGGGTGTTCGGATTTATATGTCACTTAGTATATTTAAATATGGGGCCTTCACAAGATATTGTCACAACCAACCCCAGCATTGTAACAACCAACCCCGAAGCGCGGTAAGTTGTGACACATTTTTATTAGCTTTTAAGATTTAATTTTTATGTTTTTTATGCACAAAAGGTTAAGTATAAATATACGGTAAAATGAAATTTGTGGTATTAATAGGAAAAATTTAAAAAATATATTTATAAAAATCGTAACAACCAACCCCAGTCTCCCCTACTCGTAAATAGCTGTATTCGACAAAGAGCACCAGAATGCGATATTTAAAATCTTTAAACGTTTCAGCCCTTAAAAAGTAATTTTACCATATGAGGCAAAACCCAAAGCGACACAGTAAAATAATATATCTGTTATATGGTCTGGTATATTTTTCTCTTTTAGAAATAGTAGTAGTGGTGGGGAGACGAAGCCAGGCAACTAGGCCATCTTTGGTTTGACCGTCTTTGCCGACCCCGTAGTACCAACACTGGTACTACTCCAGGGGTTTGATTCTAGAAGAATTTCCACTGTTTAAATTAATTTCGATGACGCGTTCCCGCCATATATATATAAACCGCTATGATGTTTTTGGCATGAAATTATCTTCCGAGGTGAAGATTCAAACCTGCGACCCTTGGGTTGCTAGCTCGACGAGCTGACCACCGAGCTACCAAGGCTAACTATTTCTAAAGATACATAATTTACGTAGCGATATAAAATCATACCGTGGAAGCGATCATATAGAAACTTTATTACTAGATGATTGTGAAGAGCTAATAGTATTTTAAGGACAGGTAAAAATTCACCTTATGAATTGAAATTATGGTAATTTACCTTAGCTACAACAGCCATTTTTCTTTCTCCGTCGGTAAAGGCACTACGTTTGGTTTGTAAATGATAGGAATGAGAATAAAAATGCCCGCAAATGGGTTAGTTGCAGAATATTGTAGATATTATCATGATCTGGGTTTTAAAAGGTATAAACACCCTCTTAATCACGGCATTTGCAGAATGGAACGTATCCTATACATACCACGATGTTGTTATATTGAAGAAATAAAAAAAATAATGAAAATACGCATCTAAACGCTTAGCAGCCCTCCCTTTAGACTAGAATTTGTTCCGCTTCGAGTCGCTAGTGCATTAGACGTTAATGTAGGGTTATGTGGAGTTTGAAGTCATACATGCAAATTTAGTTATTAAAAATATCGATCAACACGAAAAGCTATGAAGTTATGAAATCTGGCTACATCGCACAGTCTTTGAAAACAAAACATTCAATGAAAACCTATTATATAGTGAAATATTTCAGAACTTGAATGTTTGCGCTCATTTTCATTCCCATTCCTTTCATTTATACTCAAAAACTAGCGTCTGAAATCATTTTTTCATCAAAAACGGCTAGAGTATCTAAGCTAGAGAATGACCGAAATTATTTTGTCATTAAGATAAAGTGAATTCGCTTCTGTTTTTCCACCGTAACAATGCGATGCGATTATTTATTTTTGCTGCCGATTGTGTTGTTGTTATACATGCAATTACAATACCTCAGACTATTTGATTCTTTTGCTTTGTGCTGCCATCTGTTGTGCATAGATTTAAGCTGATAATAGCAGTATCTGATGGGGACAAGTTGATGTATAGAGACCGGTTTTATTGTAGTTCTGTCACCTATTACACAGAACCGTAAGTATCAGACGCTGACATCTACCGATAAAAGACCAATCTACAGTGACAACTGACACTATAATTTGTCATTGTTCGCAAATGACAATTGAAGTTCTTTTTTGTAACAACACGGTAAATGTCATAGACATTTTGTAAGTTTGTTTTATATTTTTAAATTCTTTTGAAATCCTCAACATCAAAATACATATCCCGTTAGTAGCTTGGTGTGCATAATTAGGGCTATTCAAATTATGTAAAGAAAAACGTATTTTCAGTATAGCTGCTTAGGATATCATCTTTCTCCATTGTTAACCTCACTTTTCAATTTTAGGCCAAAATGGGAAAAATAATGAAATCCGGTAAAGTCGTGTTGGTCCTTGGGGGCCGATACGCAGGACGCAAAGCCGTGGTTATAAAGAACTATGACGATGGTACTTCAGACAAACAATATGGGCATGCCTTAGTGGCTGGTATTGACCGTTATCCCAGGAAAATTCACAAACGCATGGGGAAGGGAAAGATGCACAAAAGGTCGAAAATCAAGCCCTTTGTTAAGGTATGCGGAGATATAAATTATGTATAAACACAGGTATTGGATGCTTGTAATGATTGATTTTACAAACCAGGGTGAAGAGTGCTTGGTGGTGATGGGCAGTTACTTTAGTGTTGGATGCTTTTGTGTGTTTTACACATTACTGGCTGTACTTTTTTCAGTATTTGAGAACTAAACAGCAGGATAACCGTAAGATCAGAATGATAAAAAAGTTACCTTAAAAGTGTTAAATAACAGCTCCCTTCGTAATGTACTTGGTGAAACTCATATATTTCAAAACAAACACAAGCAATCATAAGATTTCTGTGCTTCTATTTACATGTCACTGTGTGCACAAGCATCTGTATCCTGCTTGCCAATAGGTCAACCACCACAATTTTGTATACTGGTATTGGTTTAAGCATAGCATACGTGAGATTTGAAGAGAATGTAATGTTAATAATCTTTCTTTTCTTGTGTATTAGGATTGGAGTATTAGTTTTTTTTTATACTAACTACCACGAAGGCCTAAGCACCCATTGGGTACCGTGGGGCTATAGGGGATACATGGGAAAGGGGGGGATGCCATAGGGACTCTGGCAAGGGAACACCTGTGCATGCAACATGCACACATTCTGGCTCCGCCTACAAGAACAGCCGGGTGGTACCTCCGCGTTCGACAGTCAGAGACCATTCAATTGCATATTTTCATTGTTACTTATTCTCGTCTACCAGATGGCGTAGACAAATTTTCAATTCGACATTCTTTCCACATCATCAATTTTGTTTCTTCATACGGACACTATATTGGAATTTTGTACATTTAAATGGACATTTCAGCCCTAAATTCAGTGATGTACTTCGTTAGTGGATCATAAATTTGCAGTTAGATGAAAATTATAAGGAAATTTAGAGATATGGTGAAACCTGAATATGAAATGAAAATTTTATTGATGGTAATAACAGTAATAACGATAAATAGGCAGAGGTCTTCACAGTCTTCCAAACTCTGTTGCTATGCAAACAAATGAAATCTGATAATTTCAACGCCTACATAGGAACTTCTGGAATAATTGATGTTTTGCAATGTCAATGTGTAAATTTTTGAAATCAGAATAAACATTCTATTCATGTGTGTAAGAATCCAATATGGCGTCTATTTGAAAAAATTAGGTTGATGCTGGAGGACAAGAGATGAAACTTCATATTGAAATTCTAATTGGGCCATCTCATAGAGTAAAAAATGTGGCAGAGTAGATGAGCAATTTATTTTGAAATCTCACCAATAATGTCAGCAGAAAATTAAAACCATTTTGCTGATTATTTCAATATGTAACTTTGCTCCTATTTAAGCGACATATCCTTACAGTTTCCAAGATCCCAATGGTGAGGGTCGAATTTAAAATATTATTTTCACCCCAGCAGAAACAATCGGCCATTCCCTCTCCATGGGCATCCGTGAAAAAAAGTTGTATCATCAGCTTTGGGCTGGACTTACATAGCTAGAATATATAAATACTGTTTGTGCATACACTTCGAGGCTGGGCGACAAGGGAACAAAAACAATACTATCTAAATTTTATTAAAAGTCATTCACAGTACTTTGTACATTTCTCATTCATAATCACTGCAGACGTTTATTCAGAATTCTTACTATGTATTTACTTCTTCAACTTGTCATTTGATGTGTGGAATCATATTTCTTTGAATTTATGTTTATACTTTTTATATGAGAATTTAATGGGAATTACTGAGTAAATCTACTTGACATTATTGGGTGCTGTTATTTTTTCTAGAAAGTGCCCATGTTTTCATCTCTAGAGGAAAATTCGGGCACATTCAGGCAGTTGGACTAAGAATACTAGATCATTCTGGTTTACAGCAAATGAACATATCCCAACTTTTCCAAAATTGTCTACTTCATTCTGAAGAATATTACATTTGAATAATGACTAATTTGACAGTCATCAAACAGTCAGAAGTTTCTGTACAAACAGCGGATTACTTGTCGGTAGTTGGTCTTACCTTTCTCAGCCAACTTGTAACGTTCTCATTTGCGCAATCAATACAGTCAGTGACAGTTATCTGCGTAAACTAGGTCATGACTTGTCGCCGACTATCAGTTTGCTAATTGTCAGCAAACAGGCTGTACAAACAAACCATATGTTGTTTGAAACTGTGACCATGTGTACCTGTTCACTGTTTCAACTGTTACATTTTTTGTTACAGATCTTGAATTATAACCATCTGATGCCCACTAGATACTCGGTGGATTTGACATCAGACCTCAAAGTGACTCCTAAGGAGCTGAAGGATCCAATGAAGCGCAAGAAGGTTAGGTTCCAGACCAGAGTCAAGTTTGAGGAGAGGTATAAGCAGGGAAAGAACAAATGGTTCTTCCAGAAGTTGAGATTCTAAGGTTTTTATAGAGTTAAAATAAAAATTGAAAAATCATATTTTGTTTCACTCATATCCCATTTTACCTCAAAATTAAGTGCACTTTAAAGGTACACATGTAGATATCACTTGAGTTCTTATCCATATATATTGTAAGAAATATCTAAAACAAATGTTATATAATTGTAAAGTGGAAATGTGGTTTCAAATTTAGCTAAACATTGATATATTATCTTGAACATGTAAATCACTTTTTAGAATAAGAGACCTTTATGAAAAAAAAAATGGTACCACTCACTAGCTGAGATAACCTGCAGAAAATTGCTCTGTTGAGTAGTTGGCCAAGTACTCGGTATCAAAACCTGACCAAGCACTACTAGTTAGCTTTTTGAAAAAAGTTGTACTCTGATGAGTATCCCTGAAACCAAGCACTCCTACATGGCTTTTTCAAAAAAGTTGTACTCTGAGAATCACTGAAAAAAAGTACAAAAACACTGGCATCTTCCAATGTACCTCATCAAATTTCATAGTAAACCTGAGACAAATTATGTTAAATTATTTTTCTGATTAACTTTATTAATATAGGAATTACTATATAAGCATTGGTAATCCTAGGTTCATTTTAAGTGACGAGGAAGCAAAGTATCAGCATTTCTAAGAAAAATATTTATTCAACAATAAATCTAATACATAAAATATAGTGTATATATCTGTAAATACAATAAAATATTTCAAAATAATCATTCTAATCTGTCATAGTTCCTCAAACCTCTAATGCGATTTGGTAGGCCATAAAACCCATATACTGAAAAACCTGCAAACAATCTTTGTAGGAGAAACATAAGAAATCAATACACTTAAATGTAAACCATGCTTTAAGTAGTATGAGTGAGGCACATAGTTATACACTACAAAGAACATGCAATGGTCTCCATAAACTATAACAGGTAGTTCACATATTAGGATGCAATAACAGTATGTTTTAAATCCATATCCAATTGTACAATATTATGTATTCTTTATGGAATATATGATGATGGACAAACATACATAAGGAACTTTGAAAATCGTATTATTTAAATCAAATAAGTATAGACTGCCAGATTGAGTATTCAAATATCCAACATAAGCACTACCAGCACAAGAAAAATAATTCTGGTAATATCAATTTTGAGATACTGTGTTGCAATCTATGAATAATTTATAAACCAAGTGGTTGACAATCTTTTATTCTAATCTTTCTACTGCTCCTTCCTAAATAATATCTGATGTAAACCAAAGAACATGCTAACGTACCACGTCCCTGTTTTTAGTTTTTTTCCAACTACCTGTTTGCAGCAGTATTCTAAATCCTTTCCATCTGATAAGTACAGCTCTGAAATTGTGTGAATATTTCTCTTTTATGGAAGAATGAAACAAGTGATTACTTTTGTCCTTATCACTGTTCATTTTGATTTGATTTTCTTGAAGCAAGTTGAGTTTTCAAGAAATGCAAAGATTGTTCGAAGAGAAAAAGTGATAAGCATAAAAGTAATCACTTGTTTCATTCATCCATAAAAGTGGAATATTCACATACAATTCCAGAGCTGTACTAGTATTTGTTAACAAGTTACGATCGAAGAAAAAATCCACAAAAAAATGCATTTTATCATGAAATAAAATTAAAATGATGTTTTTAGTCACCTCTATAAACATCATGAAGTAATCAGATGAAAAGGTTTTCGAATACTGTTGCTAAAAAAAGCGAAAATAGGGACGTGCGACCTTAAGGAACATAAACCACCAAATTCAAAGGGCAAGTGGATATTTCAAGTTCATAAGTGTTACATATATCTAGGTGTATAAATGGATCGCAGCAGAATACGTTCAATCTCACTGGGATTCAGGTACTTCAGCTACCCGTAGCTCAATAACACAATAAACTTGAAAAACAAGCTACAACAATTATGGAAACAATACATAGTAACCAACGAATTCAGTCTAGGTAGGAGCCAGTCAAGGGTTTGTTCCGAATTTTCATAATCTGTAGTGAGGATTAAAGTGTACCTGTCATGAGTCAATTTTTTACAGTTCTGTCATTAAATTCGTATATTTAGGGTTATTTTTTAAAAGTGTGAGTCTTTGCAGATAATTGTGGTTTTAGACATGGTACTTCTTACATAATTTGCAAAGAGCGGCACAAGCCTAATGAAGGTAGACGTTTCCACCAGAAAGTATATTATTATTATTATGTGTCAACACTGGTCACTTTGGTAGGCATTTGTAGATGAATGAATCAAAAGTATGGACTAAAACTAATCTTGACAAACAATGCAATCTAAACATATATGTTTGGCTCCTAATCTATTCAAATTCGTTGGTGATGACCCATTAAAACGCATTTAGACAGAGTTAGCACTGCTACGAAAACTGTTAGTAAGCAAAAGCGTTGATAGACGAAAATACATTAATAACATCAATATGCCAACATGATGATAGGAATGATGTAAGATTTTACGTTATCACATATTACCTTAATAATAAGCAACTGAAAGTTATATGCATATTGTGCAGATTACAATTCGATTGTGAATACACTCTATTGTCTCACCACAAAGTGATTACATGTATGTGTATGGTTGAAAACACCCACAAAAGCTCCACAGAAGCACAAAAAGGAAAACACATGCTGAAAATTTGCGCACCGGAAATAGAGGTAGCAGTGACAAGACACTCTGTCAAACCATGATTATTTCATCACATCAGCTACACCTGCAGACATTGTGCTATCTGTCAGTTAATTATCTTGAATTAGATTTCTGTTCAATTATATCTATTCAGTTAAATCAGAACTGCCTTTTCTATTCATATTAATGGCCTTGAAAATATCGCCCATAGCTTGTCTGTGCCTTACCTTATCTTCATTAATTAACGATATAGTTTTCGATTTCTTCCTCAAATCGGATTTTTCCGAGTCCAATGAGTCGTTTCTTTTCAGATGTACACTTCGAAATACATTTTGCATTCTGGCTTTGTGAAGAGTATAGTCATCAACATTTTCGTCACTTGGCTTTTCTGAAGTAACTTCCTTAGTACTGGTTGTATCATTGTTAAATATTTCATTCACATGTTGTTTATGTTTATTATTGTTGATCGAAGCAACAGTATTTGCTTTCATTTCGGATTTATCTGTATCCATTGAGTCCTTTCGTTTCAGATTAACGCTTCTAAATACGTTCTGCATCCTATATTTATGAACCGTGTAATCGTCAGTATCTTCATCAACGCCATCGCTTTTAAAAGCCTTAGGATGTTTTACCAAGTCGTTTGCAATGTGTTTAGTGTTTTCAGAATCTATGTAGTTTACTTCATCCATATTATCAATTGCATCAAAATAAGCTTCACCATTGGGGTCGCTGGTATTGTCATCATTTTGACCATAATCCATTTCAGAAGAATTTAAATTTGAATCTTGGCGTTTCTGAAAAGCTCCTGGGGAACTATGGCCAGCATTGATAAATGCGAGTAATTTTTCTCTAGCTACAGCTGTGTTGATACTTTCTTCCAAAACATTTTCGTTGATTTTCATTTCACCATCCAAGGTGTTTCGTTGACCTACATCTTTTTTTGTTTTATTGGAGAATGAAAACACTGAAGGTATGACACTATGTCGACTGAGCTTATTGTTAAGATTGTCGATGAATACCTTATACTTTGGGGAACCGACTTTCAAATTTTCATCGTCAGGTTCTAGGGAAGGCGTGGGAGACTTTTCTCTCAATTGCATATCATTATGGCTGTCATTCCAACCTCCAATTTTTATTGCTAGAGACAATGATGCTCTTGGTAATGTATCAGCATTGGTAGAAATATTATCTTCTACGTGAGAAGCAGATTTCAATGTCTCAGTTGGTTCACTGTCATCTACCATTATATTGGTTAGATTCTCGGTAGACTTCTGAGTTGTAGTATTGGCATCTGTTTGTTCAATCAGATTTTCGTCCGAATCTTTACTCCTTTTTTCAAAATCATCATTATCGTCATCACAAGTTTTAATCGCACCACTATTTGCTTTATAACGACTAGCTTTTAGAATGCCATCATCTTCCACGGACCTCAGATTTAGAGCAATGGCATTATCAATTGCATCATTTGTTTTCCCACCAATACTTTCATCGGCTGAACATGCGTATGTGTCGATAATAACTTTGTCTTCATGGACAACCTCAATCTTATCAAGGTCTTCCGTTTCCTTATTGTGGTTATGTATAACTTTCGTTTTCTCAACAGTATGTTCTTTTTCTCCCTTCAGGCTCTTCACCTCATTACCTTTTGCTGAGTGATCGCTATTTTCATCCTTGTGATGTTCAATATCAACGACCGTCTGTATCCTGTTATCGATACCGACTTGAACGGATGAATCGCTTTCTGCACCCACAGTCAAAATGGCTGAAGGCACGACAGATGATTCATTGAGATCGCGAACAGAATGAGTTTCAACACAAAAAGCAGAACATAGATCAGACTCAACAGACAGATCACGTGACATGGGGTTAGAACCAACTACTTTGTCCAACATTTCATCTAACTTTTCTAACTCCTGTTCGATCTCACTGGTAATATTATTATTGTTAATCGGAGAACCCCCCGATGTTTTTTCCGTATGTTCATATCCGTTGTTGATGTAGCAGTGAGAAATCCCATTGGCCACGCCATTTTTCTTATCATCTGTTACGTTCACAGCTCTTTTTTGCGCTTCAGTGTATGGTTTGTGAGAAAAACAGTAAATTGGGAGTCCTAAAGAAACGTGCAAGATCATGCAAATGTCCGTGCTGCATGAATCAGTTGTGGATCACTAATGCAAACTGATTCTGGGGCATACGATTTTCCATTGACATAAAAAGGGTTTCAAGAATATCCATGGTGGGAAGTTTTCAAATGAACACCCTGTATACGTACATTAATGCCACTCGTAAAAAACTTTCGATATTCAGGAACATAAGTATATTCAAATATAAACAAACATCATCTAAATGCAAACAGTAATCCACAACTGAAATATTCAATATCCAAAAGTCAAACATAGTTAATATTTATTTTTTAACTCACCTACAGCCATCCAAACGGCAAATCTTATCCACGTGTGCGAATCAAGCATAAGCATCAGGTATATATTCGTCAAAATACTTAAAGCTGGTATAAGTGGAACAGCAGGTACCTATAAATGATGATAAGTAGATTGATTCACATGGAAAATTCGGGTAATGTAAATTCTTATGCTTTTCCCTTTGTTGGCTCTCTGATGTACATGTTATAATGTTGTATTACTAAAAACCGTTTTACAGGCTGCAAGACCATTGCATGCAAGTTCTGGCATCCAATCACTTGCAGCTGCAAGACGACCTGTTTCCTCGATTTAAATGAGCAAGGTCAGCCAACCGAAACGACGTTGTTTTGATCTTGTAACCTTCAGAACACAATTTTAATAACCAAGAACCAATTTCAGTTGCCGACCATCCAACATCAAGACAATCAATTCAGATATAAATCAATTAAATATAACTATACAAATCACCTGACCGGTCTAGGGACATTTGCTGACAAACTTGCATGAAAAATCCAACCGATTGATTTTCATGCAAGGCCCTGGCAGTTGCAAGTTGCAAGTGTGCATGCATCTAAAACGGGTATAGCACAAATACAGAAAACTGAATTTTATAGTTAATACTAGTTTTCTTCCCCGCGGAATTTGTACGAGGCTCAACTACTGAAGTAATCAAATTTACCAAGCATGCATGTTGGCCGTCTAAAGATACAAAACGCGATGGGAAATTCATAGCATTACTTAAAAACAATGTTTTCTGTTAGTTCAAGCGTACGAAGTCGCGAGTAACAGATGGTGCAAAATAAGACGTCTGTTTCGCTTGACGGTGACAGGTGGTGGCTGGCCGCACTGACGGTGGAGATTTTGGTGCTTGACACAACAGTGGATTGCAAAATCGACGATGAGTTCGCAGATAAACCTTCCTCGAGTATCATTCAGTAAATGTACCAATTTTTATGTCTCTCCGTGGTTCTGACGTGATGCTAACAGATTGGACAGACAGTGGCGTAACAAGGAGGGACCGCGGGGGGCGGACCGCACTGGGTGTCGCTTTTTTTGGGGTGACACCCACCCGGTGACTCAACTCTAAGAACAATATATAAACATAAAAAAAATCACAGATTGCATTGCAAAGTAAAGGTTCAACTGTTGACGAAACTGCTACGAAAATAGAGGCACTTCGTCTTTATATCGAAGAAAAACAGAATCACATTGTGAAAGAGGCAATAGATATTGCTACAAAAAAATCGGAAGACTACGATATTCCAACATAAAGACGACTTCGTCGTAAAAAACGGGTGATTGATGAGATGGCCAATGATACAGGACTCACACTGAAAGCAATTCAAAAAGATATGTTGGAATGTTTTAACCGATTCAGAGTTGAACTCCAGACAAGATCGAAGTCTCTTCAAGACCTAACTTCATTGTTCAAGATCGTACAAAGAAATATTTTGCTTTTGACGAATAATGAAGAACTGAAATTAGCTACATCCAAATTTACTGATTTTTATGATGAGGTCTCAGAAACAGAATTACTTTTGGAGATACCAACACTGCGAAGACACTTAAAAGCAGCTAATGTTACAGTTTCTGATTGATTACCTCTAGATTTTTTAAAGTTTATTGTAGATGGGATTTTATAGAATTTCTTCCAAATCTTATGATTGCACTAAAATCGTTTATGACGGTTTGCGTGTCCGTAGCTTCATGTGAAAGGAGTTTCAGAAAACTAAAATGAAAAAAAAAGTAATTGCGGGCAACAATGACCCAATTCCGGCGTAGCAATCTTGGTATATTAGCCATCGAACACGAGGCAATATAAAAATAAATTTTGATGAAGTTATTGCTGAGTTTGCAGCTGTCAAAGCTAGAAAGAAGAGATTTTAACTGTAAGATAAAAATATTTTTTCTGTCTTAGTTTTTATTGTGTTTTGTTATTTTTTCAATATTTTAAATATATAAATATTATCCATGACGTTTATGAATCATATAAAATTTATTGCTTTTGACTGTCGATGGGGTGACACCGCCAACTTCCGCACCGGGGTACCACCCAAGGTAGCTACCCCACTGTGGATAGACGATCACAATCACATATAGAAAGGATATTTTAGACAATACTGCACTAAAGTGTGCTAGATAATGGACAAATGCACCTCACCCATCTAGCAGCATTAAATATTGTAAGACCAATAACCCAATAACTTTTTATTCCCAGAATTATAACTGAAGTAAAACAAAACACCGAACAAATCTGAATCAATATGATCACGTTAAGAAAACTAATGTTGAAATGCAGTAAATGCCAAAGCAAAACGTCAAAGCAACCTTTACCTAAGTTGGAGGTGAATCTGAAAATGCAAATGCCCTATTTATACACTCTTATCCCTTCGGTCGGAGCCGCGGCTGGGCGTATCTGCGCCAGGCACCTCAAGTCAAATTCCATTCCAGCCGTTTGAGCTGTAGCCCGAGAAAAATGTGTTTCCAAAGTTATTTTCCGAGATAAAAGGTAGCTTACGTGCTATTACAGGCTATAATCTATCTCTTTACCAAATTTCATCTAGATCCATTGAACTAATTGGGCGCGATTGAGTAACAAACATCCACACTTTCTCATTTATAATATCGGTAGGAATTTTCGATGTCATTGTTTAGTTTGTAACATGTTCAATACCTTAAAGGATAATTCCTTTCTTGAAGTAGGTTGCGTCACTAGAGACATCATCACAATAACAGCTAAAAGTACTGCCACTGAAGTCAAACTTATCGCCCAGACTTCTCCATCTACTATTGGCTCCTTCATATAAATTGCACATACGCCGATAAAAATACACATTACACCTAAAACAAAGACAGTTGTGTGAACATCATATTCCACTGATTACAATATTGCTCCAGAAGATACCACACCTCAATTGAAAATCAGCTCTTCACAAAAGGACGCATTCATACCTGTTTACCACCGTCTTTAGGTGTCAGCGTTGTCACCTCTAGGACTTTCGTGTGTTTGTTTGTTTGAGATTTATTTAGCATGACTGCTACAACTACAGATATTTAGAAAAACGGAATTTCCATTTCTAAGAATGTTCACTGACAATGAAATATTCCTTAAATCTTTTAAACGCCTTTAAATTACAAGTACACTTTATATCATTATTTAGTTTATTAAATTCAAGTAATCCTTTCTTAAATATTGACCTGCTAGTTATATTTGCAATTCTGTAAATGAAAATCTATATTTCCTCTTGTATAATAATTGTGGTAATGATTATTCAATTCTATATATGTTGTGGCAAAAGTTAAAGGGATTTTTTCTTTTTCGTCGTTGCGAACTTCAGAGAATTAGGAGTGTTAGGGATAATTACGAGGAAGGTTGAGGGGCGATCTTTTCTTGGAAAATGTACAAAATTTTCAAGAGTAAATTATTTTCTTTAAAGGGAAAATGGAGGCTATTTTTATTTCTTCATAGAGGATGGTAAGTGAATGTCCAAGTTCAGCTTGAGGTTTGGCATCGTTTTGGCAAATACATTGAGTAGCACCGAACTGGTTTATTAAGTTAGTATTAAATATATGTAAAAACTGTGAAATAAAACTGCAATTAAAACCTTCAGATTGTAATAGACTCGCCTTCAGCATCAAGGGGCCCACAATAAAATCAAAAATAAAAATCTTATCGATAAATGATTACAAAAAGGTCTTGAAAATCTCAGGCGAATAAAAATTTCTGAATTTTACAATTCAAAGAAAATAATGGAGAGATTTTGAAAACGTGAAAAACATCGATCTGAAAGAAAACTAATTTTATTAATAATCCTTTAGTGTTAAAATAAATCGGAATTAGACGTTCAAGTTAATGATTTACCATTTTTAACATATGTAAGCCTCAATATTGTTACCTAACATGGCTTCGAACGTCATCAGAAATCAAAATAGCCGAACGTAAAGGCGTTCAGTTTTAATATAGCCTACTAATTGAATTTAAGACAGCAGTTTTAAAGAAAGCTATAGAAATACGTTTAAGGCATATTATTTACAATATTCGTAAGATCAAGTTTATTTAATGATGAGTTTAATTACTTACAGTCGCGGACAAAAGTTTGGTAACAAATAATGACATGATGAATTATTTCATATACCTAAATTAAAATTGTGAAAAAACAGAAAACATAAATATTAAAGTCTACCTTTGGCTTCCGTACTAATACAAAGGTTTATATTATCAATATTCACATTCTCTGAACATCACAGTTTTTGTAACGACAAAAGAATGGAAACATTTCAGTTTGCCGTATTTATCCGTTCTGCGATACTCTGATATTGCGTGTGGTAAATATTAACATCAGTGAGAATGGCAAAAGTAATAGAATTTTCAAAAGATTTAATTGAATTATTGAAAAGCGGTGTCAGAAATGTTGACATTTCTCGAAGATTAAAAATGAACAAAGGGATTTCGAAAATTATTAATAAATATCAAGAATACGGATCAACAGCAACGCGGCCCAGGTGTGGAAGACCGAAAAAAAAACCATTGTTTTGGATCGCTACATTGAACGTTTGTCCCATGAAGATCTCCGAATGCCAGCCACACAGATTCTCAAAAGAAGCGTAGAAGAGGGTGCCGAGAATCTTTCTGTCAGAACAGTGCAGAGACGCTTGGTGGATTTTGGTCTTTTTGGTAGGCGTCCAGTGCAAAAGCCTCTAATTTAAAAAAAATCGTTTCGCTCGGATTCAATTAGCTAAAACACATCTAACTTGGACAGAATGGAATACAGTCTTATGTAGGGATGAAAGCAAATTTAACTTGTTTGGATCTGACGGTACGGCATACGTACGACGTCCAATACGAAAAAGATTCGACAAAAAGTATCAGTTGCCAAAAGTTAAGCCAGTTGGTGCCTTCCATGAGCGGCAGATGTCATTCAGTGTTGAATGCTAAAGGCTATGTTACCAAATATTGGCTAAACAGTATTTTTTAAATCTTATTGTATTTAATTTTGTAATAAAAAATATGCTTCCATACATTTGTCGTCTCATGTTTGGTCATAAAATAATATGAAGGTATTTTAATCATAGCCTGTAGTACCACAGCAAACACAAATTGTCATTTGTATACACAAGACTGTAAGCAAACTATATGAGAAAAACAATAGTCCTTAATAATAAAAAATAAAAAATTCGCACACTTTTTAACAATTACTAAGAATGTTCCCAAACGTTCGTCCGCTACTGTATATTGGGAGAGTCCGGTTAAAAACTACGTCACAAACTAGAATGTAATAAAAAACAAACCACGGGTTCTTTTTCAAACCTGAGTAGTTTTAAAGTTAATTGAGGTTAAATCATTTCAAAACTACAATGAGATTTGTAAGATTAATTAATCTTATTTGATAATCTTATTACATTCATGTAAAGCAGTATTAATAGCTAAACACTTTTTAGGCTCTACAAGGTAACTTAAAAAGCCATTATCTATTTATTGACCACAATAAAACCGTTGTAAACCACAAATAAACCTAAAATGTGTTTATGGTGGTACTTGGGACCTTAAACAATGGAGACGCCTATTTCCTTCTTATATTTAAGAAAATGTCTTTTTAAATAGGGACAAGTAACGTTCGGTGGAGAACAACAAGTTAGCACAATAACAAAAAGCACTTACAATATATTGATAAATCGATAGTCGCAATTTTCTCAGATAATTTAGTAGGTTGGCTACGTCGTCCGCAATTAAAAATTTGCCCCATGATGCTGCCGCTGTCCTCATATGTTAGAAGATCACTGGTTTCAACAGACTCTGTAGGAGCAGGAATGGTTTTGTCTTCAGAGTATCTGTTGAGGATAAAATTATTTTATAAAGAAATAGAAACAGTGAGGTTTTGAAATCACCGAAGCGCAGTAGATTCTACTCTAATATAAAAACTACTGCCTCTAGTTGGGTAATATCATGTTTACCAGGCGGATAATACTGGAATATAAAAAATGGCGCTAAGTTGTTTGACTCTGCACTTGCCACGCAACGCCGTTATCACTTCATAAAGGATTATGTTTAGCATAGACTCTCTGAGAAAAAAGTCAATCAGACAGGTTCATACAATTAGACGTTCTTTGCCTGCCCTACAGGTAGTCCATCTGGCAACGTTGCCTCTCCCCGATACCTAACCCGGTCAGACGTAGTAGAGCGGTCACAGCACTTTATCTAAGTTTTAAGGGCTTATGTATGGAGAAATACTAACATCAAAAATAGCAGTATCCTTCGAAAAGTAAAAAAAACGATAGATCATTTTCAAAAATTTTCGCAATTAAACACTTCCCCTCCAGTAGGCGTAGGAAGTAGAAAGCAATACAGAATTTACAGGTTGATTCTGAGAAAGTAGGTTTTGTGAAATGGTGTGCATGCTCCTACATTTTATTCAGTGGTGATGAACATTCTATATGTTAAAGAAAACTGAAAGAAGCGTCAACAATGTCATGACTTCGAAATGATAGACATTTATAACTTTTGAAATGTAAGTCCGCTACAATTTTCTGTGATATGGGCAAAATGCGGCTCCATTCATATGACATGAGCGTGTGTGTGGTAACATTGATCGATTCACCAAATTGATATAACATGAAGAATCCTGAGAAACCATAAAATGAATTGCATATGTACAATTATAACCAGTGCCACTATCTAGAAAGCTTTAACACAAACATAACGTGCAAGAAAGCATGTGATGCGACGGCATACACAAAAATGCATAGGATTAAAAGCAGAAGCTTTCTACATCAATGAAAACTTACATTTCATCTTCGCTGTCTGATGTTTGCAGCAGAAGATACCGTGGCCGATACTCAACAGAATATCTGTTGATTATGATTAGTAGATTTTTAACATGTCACATGAAAACAAAAGCAAATCTTACAAATAGTACCAACAAAGCGATGTTTGCACAGACTTATGGCAATTAGCTTCAAAAGGGGGCTATAGCATTTCATTTATCTATTCTTACCTTTGAGAGCATTTAAGTATTACATAAGCACTGAAGAGGTCTTCGATTTTTTTTTAGTTTTGATATGGTTGATGGGGGGAAGGGATAACATCAGCTATATTTATTTTTATACTTCTTCGGATCTTCTACAAAATTTTGCCGATTTTGATTTGAAAACACGCGGCAACCCTGCTTGTCTACACTCGAAAGTGAAACGCATCTTCAGGGATTCCCCAAATATGGATATGCTTACTCGCTTGAAACTTTAGCTATAAATGCTCGTGATAGAAATGCTTATAAATAAATAGCTGCTATCAAACCAATTTTTAAAAAAGGTAATCCAGAGCAATTAAAAAATTATAGGCTAATCAATATTTTAACGGGTTTTTCAAAATTATTTGAGTTAGACATCAGTATTACTTATTACTAGAATTTATGATTGACTGTAATTTATTTAATACAATCAGCATGGATACCTACATGGTAGATCAACAGATACTGCAATATTTCTATTTGTTCAAAAAGTACTTAGGCAATTAGCAGTTGGTTTCTATCTGGGCTTGTCCAAAGCTTATGGTTGCATTGACAAAGACATATTGTTATTAAAGCTACAAAGATATGGTGTAAGAGGAACTGCGCTTGAGTTGTTGAAATTGTTAAAGGAGTTCAAACTTACAATTCAAACATTGAGTTGACTTCAACCAGTATAGCACAGGGTAGTTTTGTTTGTAGTTTTTTTAAATGATTTTTTTTATGGTGATGAGAGCAGCCATGAAATTATCTGCCATGCTGATGACACAAATTTAGTGTTGGGTGGGACAAGTATAGAGGACCTAACTGCTAATGGAAATCGCTTATTCAGAAGTGTGAATAAATGGTTTTCTGAGAATAAACTAGTGCTGAAAAAATCCAAAACTGATGCAACATTATTTAGAACTAGGCAGAGTAAAGTTGTTAAGCCACAATGTATCGATATAGATGATCATCAACTGCAGCTGAAAGTGTAAAATTCTTAGGCATCTATATTGATGACTTTTTAGATTGGGCAACACATATATTCGAACTGTTGAAGAGGTTCAATTCCATTTGCTAAGGTTTTAGCGTAACATCAAGATATCTAAATAATTCGAGTATGAAAATATTGTACTATGCTAATTTTGAAAGTGTTCTAAAGTACGGGATTATTGTTTGGGGGTGCAATAGGTTTATTCAAAAAATTTTGTATGTGTATGAGTGGGTTATATTTAAAAAAAAATAAAAATTTATTTGAGCTTGGGGATCAAACTTTTTATGATACTCGAACAGTCAAAGTTAATTATCCAATACATAGATTATCTTCCACAGAAAAAAGCCCTATTCACACGAGTTTAAAATTTTTCAACCTAAAAAATGAAATTAAAAACATAAACAGTTTACATAAATTTAACAAGACTATTAAGCAATTTCTAGTACAGTCAAAGCCTTATACCATAGACAAGTTCTATGCGAGTCGTAATAATTTCAGATTGTAGCTGTTTTACGATATACAGTATAACCATGTAACAATAAAAAAATAGGTCTGAGTTAAACTACCATAGTTACGCTGATAGTGACGCAACATTTCATTTTGTAGTGGGTATACAATTTATGTAATGTCATTGTACAATTTGAAATATAGATTATTATTATTATTATAACCGAGTAGAGCACAGAATGGCTGCTCTTAATCGGGAATTGGCTGGTTTGATATTGTCTGACGACCATTTCGGGTCTAATTTGGACGAACGTGACGTTACAATCAATAAACATTTAGAAAGAACCAATTCCGAGTTTGCTGGAAATGTATTTGTAATAGCAGAGGTGTGGAGTTCAATGGGAATTGATGGTTATCACGTTACTGCAAAGTATGTTGGGCGAGCGAGATCTTCCTGATTTTACAGACATTATGTGGTATTCATAACATGTGCGTGAAAGTCAATACTTGCTTTAAATTGTAAAATGTACCATAAGAAGGGTAAGACATTTGCTCACCTTTGCTGATAAGTGGGAGGGGGAGGGGGGAGAGAGTTAATAACTGTAAAAAATCTGCTTACATAATACATAAACAACACTATCATCAAATTCCAATTCTTGTACACTTAGTTCTTCCATTTAAGATAATTTGGAATATGACCAAGTTCAAAATAATTGCTCAATGGGTCAGACAAATGTAGTGCTATGACTATTTCAGCATTCACTTGTTGAATATATACATACTGTACCCAATATACAGTTTATTAGAAATAACTATTATTATATTCACTTGGTTTACCTCAAGATCAATACGCTAGCTGCAACAATTGTATAGGCCAACAATGTTCCTATTGACATCATGTTAACCAGCTGTTTTAGTTCAAATAAAGCTGCCATTAGACCTGAAATCATATAGTTGATCAACTATAAATAAACTAATATTTAAATAATTGAAATTTTGTTACGTATTCATTTATAATTCTCGTCGGGTCAGCAAAAATATTACAAAAATTACCTGTAAATAATCCAGCTAATAAAGTACCAATGAAGGGTGTCTGAAATCTTGAATGTACATGTCCCAAAAACCTGAATACCATGCTATCCTCAGCCATCGCAAAGATCACTCTTGGCAGTGGAAACATAGCTCCAAATAAACTGGAACAACAATTAATTTTTTCACCAGATAATAGAAAACTGAAAAATACATACCTTGCACAAAGTCCAAATATTGCCCCGATAGAAACTATCCATTTGGCAACATTCCAATTCACAGCCTCGAAGGCATAAGGTATGGGAGCATCAGGATTCTAAAGGGAAAATATTTTTTGTTTAATTAGAAGTCAGTCCACCAGGTAACAAATATGATAAATGGTGTTAAGTAGCTTGATTCTGCACTCCCTACGTAAAACTGTCATCAGTTTATAGAAGATGGTCTGGCATAAGCTAGCAGCTCTCAGAAAAGTTTAAATATGATCATGTATAACAAAGGAATTAAATGAATCAAGTCAGTCAAATGCACCCATACAATTAGTCCACAACACCCGCCCATTTGATTTCCGCTGACATACCGACCATCAACATTGCGATTATAGCTGGGATGCATAAGCCTCGCCAGCTATCGTCCAGCTCCCAACAGGGTTACTTCTTAAATTCGTTGCATTCGATGCGGGCAATGAGAGTATTTCTATCATTGTAAGTCTTAAGGACAAGTCTGTATGAAAATTTCTAAAAGGTTCGTAGAATTGCCAAGGCTGGAAGGATATAAATATGCTAACTCTAGAAACTAGTATACCCTCTCCCAGTACCTACAAACCGTCCCACTTTTTTACCTATGCAATTTTTTTTTTTCAAAAAATGGGCAGGAGCCCTTGAAACTTTCAAAAACTACAAAGTTTTTCGTTCTTGACATAGTACTAACCTTGTGTAAAAACTTCATCAAAATCCGAGCGATATTTTCCCACCTACAGAGAGGTCAAGGATCAGCGGGCAGGCTGTCAGATGGAACTGAGTAACATAAGTTTTTCCTAATGTCATAGTTTTCGAAATTTTTCATGAATACGAGGGTCATTTTTTAAGTACGAACCGTTTTGTAATGAAATCAGAGAAACTTTATTAATGAAAGTAAATTGTACCACAAATTGAAATATGAACGTTTTTTCATTTTCAACATAGTGACCATAAACATTTGTGAAGTCATGGTACCAGCTTTTGGATCCCATCACAAAAAAAATGCTTCCGCCTATACCAGTTAGAAGCTGTTTCCTTCAACATGTCATTAGTTTCCAACCACATTCCACCAATAAATTCCTTGAGTTTTCGAAAAAGATGAAACTTTCTCAGACAGGGCTGTATCGTGGATGATCCAGAAATTCCCAACAACTTGTTCAGTTGCGTCTGTGTTCTTGCCGCAACGTGAGGCCGGCAGTTTTCAATAGCGCTCATAATTCAACAAGCTTCTGGTGGATTTCAGCAGGAGGAACTTTGAGGAACATTTCATGCATTTAAAACCATATTACTCAGCGCAGTTCACAATCGGCGAGTTTACTGATTGATATGATGACAGACAAAACAGTATAACCATACAACCAACACCGACAGTCACCTGGAATGTCGGCGTAGTGTAGAACTGGCCAAGAGTGTCCGAGGTTGATCTCACGTGACAGGCTGCACAGGCACGATGCGCAATCGGTTCTTACTGGGGTTTATACAATACTTCCTCACTAATCATTATGCTCTATTTCTAATTTACAAACCTGTTCATAATATGGGAGCATCAAGGTGACGACAGTAGATGTTCCAAAATATGCCATGAAGATAATGAACAGTGACACCATGATAGATATTGGTATAGCTCTCTTTGGATTTCTCACTTCTTCACCTGTGGTGGCAATACAATCAAACCCAACAAATCCATAGAAGCAAGTAGCTGCACCTTTTATCATTCCTTCAATTCCAAAAGGAAAAAATCCACCTTTTCCCACATGAGTTCCATTAATCACTTTTGATGGATCTACTTCCCAGTTTGCGATATCAGCTGAAAATAGGTATATATAACCATTGTTTAATGTATTATACTTAAAGATAGCCAATCTAATACTACATTCCCGCGTGCAAAAGTTATCTAAGATGAAATAGCGTCATCTATAAGAATTAGCCACAGCTATGTTTCTCTTCTTTGCAGTAATTATAACTCCTCTAAAAAGGTTAGTGTCACATAGATGCTGCTCTAGTCAAATATATGCTATATGCTATAGATAATTGGTATAGCTGTAGCATATAGCAGCACCATTTATCTGACATCATTGATTAACATATTCTTCCTAATAGCTAACCTAATACTATATTTGCGCGTCCGAAAAATTATCCGAGATGAAATGAGGTACTGCAGCGGCATCTATGACCTATGTTTTACCTCTCAGCAATAACTAGAAATCTACTTTGAAAAAGTTAGTGTCCTATACATAGCTACGGTATCTCATTTCATCTTGGATCATTTTTTGGTTGCGGGAAAATAGTATTAAGTTGACTATCTTTAGTTAGAATACATTAATCGATGATGTAAGTAAAATAAAGTTCACACTTAAATAAACTGTTTCAGCCTTTAGGCAAATCTCTTTATCAAACATATTCCATAGCCACTGAAATTAAAATTCTTTCCATTTATTTCTTTTCAAGGCAGTTTGTGGTACCATAGCCTTTGAGATATAAATAGTCACTATAAAGTCAGTGTCTGTCAGCAGTCTGTGTGGTTTGGTAGCCCAAACTCTAAGGAAATTACAATCGTAATATATGGGTTGGGCAGAATTCATTACCTTTGATAGATCCAGCAATAATTACAAACAGAATCACAGTTATATTAAGGATGGTCATAATGTTGTTTACAAAGCTGCTTTCCTTAATCCCCATCGCTAGGGCAACTGAAACAGACATTTTTTGATAAAGTTATGAGACATTCACCATAGAGTCAGGGCTCATTTATTTATGCAATTACTATCTACACATAATTACTTGCATATAAAAAGGCATGCATAAATTTGCCCCAAGCTAACTGGATATGAAGAAATGTTTTATTCAAGACTAAATATGTAAAGGTAATCACCTTATTATATTTTGTGTAGTACAATTTATCCATAGCTGTTGTGTGTCAATGAGTATCAACATTGCTACCCACATTACAGTTTGCCAATTATTATTGAAATATATGTAACTATCTGTAGGGATAGTAATTTTTACTAAAGATATATCATGCATTTATGTATGGTATTTCTTATGATAGGTGTGTATTTAGGGCTGCATAGTAACAGTTTTGTGACAGTGTCAATATTTTGATCTACATGTACATATGGATTTTAATGTAAATGAAACCCTCATATCATCAAAATAGAATGTGTCATACCTGCTAATCTTTACACAGCACAGTTTTTATAGATATGCTAAGACAAAGCAAAATATGTTTTTATTATGAGTTTTAGTAGATTATGTCTTGATCTACTTACCTGCCAGTACAACTGATACACTAAATGCAAAAAAGTCAAAATACTTTGATAAGTAGGGAATGTCTATGGGAGCTATCTCAATAAAAGTATTTTGCATAGTGTTATTTATCAATGTGTCCAAATACAAGCTCAACCCTCTAGCAACACTAGCTGAGCCTAGAATGATATCAGGAATAGTTACACATATGATATATGAATCAGGAATCTGATGTGACCAGTTACACTGTACTTAAATCCCATTTATTCAGCATCAAGACAAACACCATCATGTGAAATTCAAATTCATAGGTTCCTACTAATTAATTAGCAAGTCATAAAGACCAGCACAGGTATCATGTAAAAAACCTATAAAACGTCAAAAAAAACCTATAAGATGTCAACTTGCAGACTAGGTAGTTTTTATGGTGCAAAAGTAATTCCACGTTTGCTCACTAGGATCGTTGTGAACGTCCATCTATGGAGGAATGGCTCAACTAAACTACACGCATTACTGGTTGCATAGTTTTGTGAGGCTGAGTGATCCGTGTCTGTAGTTTTTATCTCTGAGAAGAAGTTGGTTGAATAGCAAGATCGCATCTGGATGATTATGTGTATTGGTCCGCATGTGTCTAAAATCAGTGATATTTGCTGTGTGAGAAAATCATTACTGAATATGCCGGGTTATTTATATGTTGTGCTTTCTGAAGAGAGGTTATGTTCAAAGTTATAAATTACGAAAACCTGAGGAGAATCACGGGAAATCATCACCGCGCCTGCGTTGTGTGTAATTACTGTTATCATGTATATGGCTTGTAATTCAACAGTGTACAGTGAATATGATTGTTTCTTATCTCTCTTATTTTTGAAATTGAGCAAATTTGTATATGTAATTTCCAGAATGGATAAGAAAAAGTGAATGCGCAACTAATTTCTAGCTTTGTATCTCAATTAAGTGTATTTGAGACAAGAACCCAATGTAATTATCATCAACACATACAACTTACAGCTTAGACCTCCAGTAATGCCATCTCAGAAGCAGATTTTACATCACATCAGAGCCAAAGATTGATAACAAGCCTCATGACGTTTAGGCAAGACATACAAAGTGCTAAGTTAACATCTCATACGTGATACCCATGCAGGGCAGGCAGTGACAAGCAAACAGAGGCAGTAGCCAAGTGCTTGTTTGTGTTGACATTGAGTAAATGAAGATTGAATAGTATTACATTACATTTATTTATAAATATATATTCTATTTATTTCCTCACCAAAGTAATAAACATTGTCAATCAATGTAACACCTGTGGTTTTTATTCTGACAATGCTCTATGTTTGCCTGGCTTTGAAAATTGTACTTTAAAAAATGGCATTGTAGTGGATGGAACATCAGTGTCAGTAAACAGCATTTAATTTAGCGGCCAGACAAACATGGAGGATCATTGTGTCACAAGATGTTAGGTACCCTTGGAGCAGATATACTACTCACATGTAAATTGAGGACAAGATACTCTAATGAATTCATAGAATAAGATGTGTACTTTATATTGGTTTCCCCAATTTGCCAGAAGCTTATCAACTACTTACCAATTACATATTCTAGAATCAAGTTCCATCCTATGACAAATGCTACAAATTCTCCTACACATACATAGCTATAAATATAAGCAGATCCAGCTTTTGGTACTCTAGCTCCAAATTCTGCATAGCAAAGACCTGTTGAGAAAACATATTTTTCTTTGTTTCTTTCTTCCAGTACTCATGCTATTTTATATCTTTATAGACAATATGTGTAAGACTTTTTTAAAGAGGATATTCCATTTCCAATCTATAGATCTTGTCCTGCTTTTTTATGTTTTTTGACAAATACAGCAAAAAATATACATTGTATAGTCGAAATCACGAATTATGTCATCATTTTAGTCTGTAGTAAAGACAAACGACAGCGATTTGTGAATATGTTTAATGAAGTTTCAGATATGCTAGACAGAGACAAACAGAATTTTATTGTCTAAACAAACTGTATTGCTAATATGCATGTATCTGACAAAGATAGACGATGTTTTCATGTTGCATGATCGATCATATTTGAAAGATGCATAGTTAGGTTATGTTAAAGCAGCTTATGTTGTTGTCAAATAATACTTTGGTCTTTGGTGTTGCTGTCTTAAGGTATTCTAATCATAACTGTTTTTTTCAAAACAAAAACTCCGCACTAAGATTATTATAACTCAAAACCATGAAATAAAATGAAAACAAAAATAATCAGTGTAATAACCTATCTTCCCAAATCATAACATAAATTTGTTGTCATTATTCCTGATATCCGATGTACGTCCAATGATTACTTCAGTACAATTTATGGTACGACGTAATAGTCATCTTTCGTGATTCTGACTATATGTATACTGTATGATAATTCAATATTCACTACTGGCTTGTCCAGTTGTGCTGATCAGACCTGGGCTGTGGTCAAAACATTCCTATTCTCACTAAATCCATGTGTATACATAGTGGAGAGTATACACTATTACTTTTACCAATGATGACTCATTATCCATACAATAAAAATTAGTAGAAGTATAACATAGCACACACCTGCAAACAATGAAGCCACTGCAGCTATCAAGAATGATAAAACCACAGATGGTCCTGCAGTATCCTTAGCAACGTGTCCAGCTAAAACATATACACCAACCCCCAATGTACTGCCTACTCCCAAAGCTGTCAGGTCATATGTATTCAACACTCTAGATAGTCTAGTTTCTTCTATAGATCCCTCATCCAGAACTTTTTTTCTTGTTAGAACTCTCCATATTGTAGCCATCCTTTTGTGCCTCTTGATCACTTTTTAATTTTTAGCAAAAAGGTGCGTTTTGCAGATCATAATGTGGAAGCCACCTCAGTTACAATGGGATGTGAAGTGAGATAAATCGGTGCTCACTTTTTACATCACAATCAAGATAAGAGTTGTAAATTGATGCTGTTGGAATCCAATTGGTTGTTTTTAACTATTCTAGATTTGTTGAAAAATGCACTATATATTGGAGGTCAGAGGCCTCCGTAATCGTGACAAATGAAAATAGGACATTAACACACACTGATTAACAAACATACAAAAAATTCAAATAAAAACAAAGAAAATAATAATATTTTAGAAAGGCAATGAGCACATGACATGGAACCACAAAACATATACACTGAAATGGAATGGGAGGGGTCGCTTGACAGATGTCACATGACGTGTGCTTTGACATGTGACAAATGTCTAAAAGCTCCAAACCGTTTAGGTTTTTTCAGAGTATATTGTTTTTTGTGCGTTTACGTTTTCAACCAGTTCTCAACTTGTTTTCAATCGAGTGCATCTAGCGGCCCAGCACCATTATGCGTATGACGTCATGTAGTGGATGTACTTAACGTTATTTTAAAGAATGTAGCACTAGACTGGAACGCAAAAATGCTTAAGCAGAAACAGGAACACGGATTCCTAAGCGATCCCACCACCACCACCATCCCGCACGGGTATTATGTAAAAAAGCTATAAAACGTCAAAAAAACCTATAAAATATAATCTTGCAGACTAGGTAGCTTTTAGCGTACTAACAGTCATTCCACATTCCACGTTTGCTAGGATCGTTGCGAGTTGTGAGCGTCCATCTATGGAGGAATGGCTCAACTACACCACTACCCGCATTGTTGGCTGCATATGTTTTGTGAAGCCTAGTTTCCATCTATGAAAAGAAAGTTGGTTGAATAGCAAGATCGCCCCTGGATGATGATGTGTATTGGTCTGCGTGTGTATAAAATCAGTGACATTTGCTGTATGAGAAAATCATTACAAGAATATATACTGCCATTTTCTCGTGTATCTTCCATTTTGGTTTTACGAGTCGTCCTCTATTTGGGGTTTTCCATCGGTGGGACCTTGACCTGAGGTCCACGTTAAGTTATCTTAAGCACTATGAAGTGGATACTGATTCAACTTGCAAAAAATGTTGCATATCTGAATTTCAAAACGCCCTTAAAACTTTTCGTTATACAGATGTGGGAAATTTATGGTAAATTAAAAAAAAAACACTGAAGACAGAAAATATATTTTTACATGATAACAAAAGGGAGAAAACCTGATGTAAAACGTAATTGGCTGCTCCAATCAACACACATTGCATAAACTTTCATATACAACATTAACATGGAACGTTAATATTAATTATAGAAAAATAACTAGGCGGTACACGAAGACAAAGGGTATGGCATTTTTAACAATAAATAAGAATCTTTACATAAAGCATTTCATCATAGTGAGCCCAAGATAAGAACTAGATACGCTATGCTGTGGTAGATGCTTATAACAGATGAAAGGTTATCATAGTACCTAGTAAAGAACGTCAGTTGACAAATTGAGCATATTATATTCTGTTATAATTCCACATCAGTGCTTATCATGGATTCACTTATAACAGAGTGGAAGTTATATAGCTTATGGTTTATTGATATAGTTATGTCCTCTTATTCTTGTTGTTTTGTTTCTCCCACAACAGTTCATCGTGAACACTATGCAACCTACGACGGAAAGGACTACGTAGAAACCGATCATTGCTACTGGCGGGTTGTCATAGTTGAAAAATAACTTGTCCGGTTTGTGGAAACCATAGTGTTTCAGTATCGTCGTACCGTTCCTTGAGCTGCACGGTAGTTGGACAATGATGTCTTGATGCTTCACCTGCAATGAAGAATACGAAAAGTATAAATATGAGTCATCTCAACAAATAATGAGTGTTGTTTCCATGTGCATATAGGTGCAAGTCAAGCGTGTTACTGAATCGCTCGAAAGCGGCAAAGCAGTTATTTTTTTACCGTAACTCATATAGTCTTAGAGAGACGTCTAGTACCTGCAACATAACGTATTTTTTATGGGGCTTATAGAAATGCAGTTGGATTTGAAGTGAACTAGAAAGAGAAAAGTCTAGTTTCCTTAACAAAAATACTTTGTTTTGTTTACTCAGTGTTACAGCTTTTCTTGTTCTTACCACTGCGTCTGGCTAATGAGGAGCCCCATAACAAAAGAGAGCCGGCGGCCGCGGGATATCTACTTTCCCTCTCGAGTCTGTCACCAGTGATGTCAGGTCTAGGGATATTTCGCCGTCCTAGGTACAATGGGCCCCAATAATTTTATTCAAGAAGATGGAGACGTTCAAGGGGTATCTTAATTTATTAAATGAGTACAGTATTTTGCGTTTGTCTCTGTTATTAACCTTTAACTTACTATTTGTGAGAATTTTAGCTTAGCCCGAAAGATCATAACCAATTAACATATTCGACCAGAAGATACCCAATCCAAGTGAAAGCCGTACTTGCGCAAAAAGAAGCATACATACGGTAGCCGCGTTAACAACTCATGTCTACATATATAGGTACTATCGACCATCGCCTTGCTACCTCTCAGTCTGTTGCCGCATGTTGTGAGACTTCCTTCTCCATTGCTGGAAAATTCTGATTATATGGGATATCTTAGGAACATCCACAAAGGAGGTTTGCTTGAAATGGTGAAAACAAATTTCGGTGTGATGCGGCGGCAGCGCGAGCGGCAACATCGTCGCCATATCCCTTGAATAGTTCCGTTGCTTGGACCTTCGCCTTTTGCTTACTGAAGGAAGCATAAAAAAGGAACTGAAGACACACTCCTTGAATGACAGAAATGTCGGACTGGGTAATGGAAGCCTTAATTCTCCAAGTTGGGCAACTAATATAGTTGTTTTTGTGTCCCTTACTTCTAAGAGAGATGCTATGTGACCAAAACACTTTTAGAATAACAAATAAAAACTCTTTTAAGTTTTGCGATATCTATTATATAACTTATTTCTATCGACCTATCTGTGGGTATGTTGGGGTTATTTTATACTCTCGTAATCTCGGAAACGGCTGCATAGATTTTGAGCAAATTTGGTAGCAGCATACGTGGGTACATTTTTGGAAACCGTTTAATATGCGCAGAAAACCAAGCAGCTGAAAATTTTTGGCCCTTATGAAGATACTAACCCAAAAATTTGGATTCTCTAGCAATACTTATTATTATTATTACTTGAACGAATGTAAAATTTAAAAATGGACATACTATGTGAACGCTTGGAAGTACCGGCACGGCACGGGTATTACGAATCTTGAATAGTGGCATTATGCCGATTTTTTTTTGACATTATATTGGTTTTCTGTGACATTATGCATTATGTAGGTTTTTCTACAAGATGTTAACTTAGCACTAGCTGATGGACACATTCTAAACTCGTTTTGTAGTTGTACGTGTTGCCTAAACGTCATCAGGCTTCAGTTATAAATGATTGTGATCTGTTTCAGAGATGGCCTTACTGGAGGTAACAGCAATGCATAGGTGCATAGTGAGGATTTGTGTGACAATGAAATGTATTGATGGTAATTCCATGGGGTTCTTGTCCCAAATACACTTACTTGAGAGTCAAAACTAGAAATTAACTGCGCATCCACTTTTTCTTATCCATTCTGGAAATATGCAAATTTTCTGAATTTCAAAAAAGAGAGAGATAAGAAATAATTATATTCACTGTACACTGTCGAATTACAAATCATATACATGCTAACAGTAATTACACACAACGCGGGCGCGGTGGTGATTTCCTGTAATTCTCCTCAAAGTTTTTGAAAACGTAAAAAATCGTAATTGATAACTTTGAACATAACTTGTCGTCCGAAAGAACAACATATAAATAATCCATCTGACACATCAGCTAATAGATATACTTCATTGGCAGCATATGCAGTAAAGATTTTCTCACACAGCAAATATCACTGATTTTATGCACATGCAGACCAATACACACAATCATCCAGATGCGATCTTGCTTTTCAACCAAACCACCAACTTTCTTCTCGGAGACTCAGAGATGAAAACTATAGACTACTCGGCTTCACAAAACATATGCAACCAACAATGCATGTAGTGGTGTAGTTGAGCCATTCCTCCATAGGTGGAGGCTCACAATGATTCCAGTGAGCAAACGTGGAATGACTGTTTGTACAGTAAAAACTACCTAGTCTGCAAGATGACACAGGTTTTTTTTGACGCATTAGAAAACACGAAAAAAACTTATAAGATGCTATCTTGCAGACTATGTAGTTTTTAGGGTGCAACCAGCCATTCCACGTTTGCTCACTATGATCATTGTCAGCGTCCATCTACGGAGGAATAGCTCAACTACACGTATACACGCATTGTTGGATGTATATGTTTTGTGGAGCTGAGGCGTCTATAGTTTTCATCTCTGAGTCTCTGAGAAGAAAGTTGGTTATTTGGTTGATTAGCAAGATCGCATCTGGATGATTGTGTGTATTGGTCTAAGTGTGTACAAAATCAGTGATAGATATTTGCTTTGTGAGAAAATCATTACTGAATATGCTGCCAATGAAGTATATCTGTTGTGTATGTATAAGATTTGTAATTTGACAGCGTACAGTGAACATATATTTATTTCTTATCTCTCATTTGTGAAATTCCGAAAATTTGCATATGTAATTTCTAGAATGGATAAGAAAAAGTGGATGCGCAGCTAATTTCTAGCTTAGAATCTCAAGTAAGTGTATTTGAGACAAGAATCCATTGGGATTATCATCAACAATACATTATTAGCAGACAAAAATCTCACTATGCGCCTATGGATTGTCGTTACCTCCAGTAATGCCATCTCTGAAGCAGATTTTACATCGCATCTATATAAGATAGCTGAGGCTTCATGACGTTTAGGCAACACGTATAACTACAAAACGAGTTCACAACGCGTCCATCAGCTAATGGTAAGTTAAGATCTTGTAGAAAAACCTATATAATGTCACAAAAAACCAATATAATGTCAAAAAAAAAATCGGCAAAATGACACTGTTCAAGATAAGTAATACCCATGCCGGTCAATCTACTTGCTGCTATTCTATATGAAAACATTTATTAAATCATGGAGAGCTGAAGGTAATTTTAGTGTTTTGAGACCTTCTACTTCTGGAAATCCAGTCGGATAGTCATAGTTGTCCTAAGATAATTTACTCACTTCAAATATCGGAAAGCTTTTGTCAGCATTTTGCGGTTTTTTCTAGATAGTCAAAAATAGGAAGCATATTACTATCACCTAGCGATACGATCTATTGACTAACAGTAAGATACCAAAATTGACAGTAGCGAAACTCATCGTACGCCACTGGTATTATGCGGTGGCCTTCGAAAATGCGGCGCTTCTTTGTGAAATGTCTGTAAACGTCGCTGTAATCAAAAGGTACAGCGGCAAAGCAGTGGCGCGCGATGACTTCTGCTACTGTCATCAATTCTGGTATTTGACTGTAGCTCTCGAGAATTTATGGTTTAGCGAACGTCATAAAAATTTGCTTGAGATTGTGTGGGTAACGATTTGAAATAAGACAACACAATCGACCACTGCGAGAGAAAAACAGCATGCTCTCTGTTGGAACTGTATTCCAGTTCGCATTTGATAGCCGAGTTACCACGATGGCCGCTACATGCCGCCGATTCTTGTGATATAGATGTGGTCTGCTAGCCATTGAACAAACAAGTAATATAAATTTCATCCGTCCAACCATAGAGGGCCAACCATGAATAGCTACGGATATCAGTTTCGTGCTTTCTGCAACTCGTCAACAAGGTTTAGCCTTGGCCACTGGTAGGACAATAAACGGAAGCACGAAACAGCTGTCCATAGTTGGCTGTTTGTGGCCGGATAGGCGAAAGCTATATTACTAGCATTACGGTATTTTTGTATCACACACTTCGGGGCCCCTGTATGCCGGAGGTCATGCATCACGGTTGCTAGGTCTTTGTAACTTAGTTCCTAAATGTATATTGTTTCTTATCCCCTCATTTATGAGTCCTTGACAACTATACAGAAGCAGAGCGGAGACATTACAGGACGTGGATGTTGGTTTGCTTACCTGGCACAATATTTTACCCGAACTACTTTGTATAGCCTCAGGAGAGAGTTCCCTATTCAAGAGGAATGGAAGCAGCCACGATGCAGGGTTTACGTACTGCATCCACTGCAGGTACTCCGGCTGGTCCTTCACATGCAAAGTGTACCCAGAAAGTATAGAAAGAGCACTTGCCACTGCGGATGCCAGTATTGTCATTGTCCTGGTGTACGGCAGGAGGTAGACGGAAGCTGTTATCAGAACCTGGATGCAGTTGAGGTATAGGAGCATCACACCTGAAAAAAAATACAAAGACCTTACGTGACTTGCAGACTTAGCGACAAATGTAACAAGATAGCTAAAATTTCGCTCGGAACTCTAGTTCCCATATTAAATCAAGAAATACTTCATAAATCACCTGGTTTAGCTACAAATCTTTTTTAATTTGCACAAACTTTGCGGCTGTGGGCGTAAAATCCACCAATCAAAGAAAAAGGTTTTGCGAAGCATACACTGAATCTGATACAATATCTAGATTGCTATGACAGCAGTTACATATCATTTCATTCATAATAGTGTAGTAGACACCCGAGCTATATACGAGTATTTTAGCAAAAAAGGAGATATTTTTCAGTATAATGTAGTTTGTAGCTCCTCACTATGGCCTGCAGACTGTCGGTGTCTGTATAAATAGGAATTTATAATAAATGTATGCATCTAGCGTACGTTTCTTTGTATATATGTTGCAGTCAAAACTCATAGCAGATCAAGCCCACTTTTCACCGTAAAAATCGGCCAGAAGTGGCTTTGACTGAAGTTCTTGGTCAAAAGTGGTTTTGCCTGACTTACGGTTCAGGCTAACGGTCAAAACTCATGAGTTAAGATAGTTGCTGGAAATTACCAGAACAGTCATTTCTTAAATAAAAATTACGAAGACGAAATTAGTTTGTCAAGCTTACGTACTTTGTATTTATCGAAAATGATATTTCAAATGGCAGACCAACTATCTGAGGATATTTTGCAAAAAACAATATCCTGTTATTTCTAGGCACAACAATAAAAGAGAGACAGAAAAAAATCAATATCTCAAAAACAGTAAAACTTTAACTATGGCCACTTTTTGGTATGTTGCAGATCTGTCCTTCGCCTATCGTCCCTATTTTTTTGTCGTACTATTTGCCGGATATAAGCGCTTTACTCACTGTTTAATATTTCCCCAAAATATTTTGCAGGTTCTCACCGCGTTATTCTCATAAGAGGTCCTTGTAGTTTTACTGCAAGCATGCCTCTTTAAATAGAGGAGCTATGTGTTATTATAATTTTCATTTATTCCTTTAAATTTGTCTGGTAGTATCTATATTAATAACTCTCTTTTTAGGATGTTTCACAGCTGTTACTCATTATGAAAGCCGGCCATTAATTTACATATTGTGATTAGAATGATTTCAAGCAGAATAAATTATTTGAAACTGCCAAACATAATGTTGGTTGCCTATATTCATTCCGCTATTTGCTATAAAATCAAGAATGCATAAAATTCCCTACATTTTGTCTTAGTAGAATTTAGCACAAAAAACAAATCGTTCAATATTTATCATCAAAATGCCAGCAATGAAGCATCTTCTGACACTTTGTAGAAGTTCCCACAAAGAATAAATTTCGAAGTTTGACTGAACATACTAATAATTAGGCCACCCAAATGATTCATCTGCATTCATAGTTGTAATTAGTATTGATCTACACCTAGCTGCCTGCGTGGTATACACGAACCAATAAACCTTTCTAAGTGGTGAATTTGACAAGTGGACATTGGCTGGTTAATCTCCGATCCCCATACCAGTAGATGAGTGGGCAGCAGTAGTTTTTGCAGATTTTGCTAAAAAGATTGACAATAGATAATAAAATTTTACGCTGACAGAAAAGTTCGTCAATTCATACTCACTGGGCTCAATCACTTCACTCATCTATACGTACACTTATTTAAGGTTGATTTCATTGAATTTTGTAGCAGTTTAATTTGCGCGTGTATTATTTTTCTGTTGCCGATTTCACTTATTGTGTACTTTGTTCCAATGGAATTTCATAACGATGTTTCTGACTTGCTTCATAGGTGATTTAACCGACCATAAAAAGTGGAGCGCACATAAACCCAAGCACATAATACGTGAATATTTGTGAAATATTTATGCACGAGGTTTTTTTGATATTGTAACTCTCCTTCGAAAACAACCCTCGCAGCTAAATTCTTTGCTTTTAAAAATGTTCTTTCGGATGCGGATATCTCGTATAATCTACCCTCGATTTTTATATTCCACTGCCCCTCTAGGGGTTGAGACTTACAACATTTTAGTATGTATCTTGAACCCTCAGCTTCATTATACAGGGTGTTTTCAAAGTTGAGTCATGTATTTTAACCGCGTGTAGAAATCGTCAAAAGAAGTTGATATACCAAAAAATCATCTATATAAAAGTTGCTTAATAAGAGAGTTAGTTTACGTGATTAAAAATTATTTAAAAAATCGTTATCAAGTTAAATGAAAACCGTTTTTAGAAAAAATGTTCAAAATTGTCCCCATTTGTTCGATTAACGCAAATTCTTGCTCGGCGAATCCACGACTCTTTACAAGCTTCGAAAATAAAATCATGATGTCCACGAATTGAACATTTTCAGTGCGCTGTTGAAGTCCTTACAGAGTATTTACTGCTCCATCATAATGCACTAGCTCTTGCAAATAGTCCCACAGAAAAAATCGCAAGGGGTTAAATCCGGGGAGCGAGCAGGCCAAGAAATGGGACCATTGCGCCCTGTCCATCTATTCGGTGACTCATTATTTAGATGTTCAAGAAATTCTCGTCTAAAATGTGGTGGAGCCTCATCATGTCGGAACCACATCGGCTGAACTATACTTTAGAGCATATCGCAAATATTTAATTTCTTATTTTAAAATGAAAGATTAGGATGTAACTTGCACGAAAATATCATTTTTCTTTAAGGAACCCTCTGCTTGCTACTTTATAGAACTTCAAAATTGCATTTTGGGTGCTAATACTGTGGTATAGAAAACTGCTTTATAAGCTGGTTTTTCTTGTTTATACAAAAGATTGCTCAAAATTATATGAACATAACATACAGTGTAAGTCACTGTGACACTATTCATCGCAATAAAGCAATTTTGTATTATTTTAAGGATGAAAATAGTTTTGCTAAGTAGTCATTTCTTTTATTACAGATAAATATTGCCATTACTACACCAGCTTCAGTGTCATACTCTCTCCATCTAGTTGCGATGTTGCCAAATAATGGATAGTAATATACCTCAGTTTGGTTTGTCAAATTCGTACTTGTATACTTGCTCAAAAATGTGCAATCTGCACAGGATTGTCATGAAAATGCGATTTGGAGCTGTGGCCGGCTGGTTTTACTGTACTAAATCCACCTCGTGCCCTACAAAAGTACTTCGGTTATTGTTTTTCCTATATTATAGTTATAATCTATTTAATAATAATATTTATTACCCTCATTAAATACTATATAAACATTTACAAACAAAAAGCCGTAAGAGAATAAAGGGCTACATAAGCTTGCCCCTTAAAGCAGCAGCTGCTAGAGCCAAACAAACAAACAAATTTAAACAATTCTATAATAACACAAATGACTGTCAAGACATTGATAATTAATAAAGTTCTGATATTAAGAAATATAGCGAGGTATAGTAAGTAGAGAAATGGAAATTTAGAGTGAGAAAGAGAAAGCGAGAATAGGGGAAAGATAAGAAGAGAAAAGGGGGAGCAGGAGATATCTTTTTTATGATACCTGATACCTGAGACAGTAAATCACTTTTAAGCTTCCTCTTAAATGCAGCTACCGAGAGAGGAAAATCTTTAAGTTTGAATTTATTTACCGAAAAGGCAATTTGATAAGAGAATGATTTCTTAAATGATTCTTCATTGTGCGATGGTATTGTAATCAAATTCAATCTTCTAATGTTTAGATTATGTACATCAGTCCGGTAACTAATTTTTAAGTGAAGATAAGGGGGGCTTTTATATTTTATAATCTTGTAAAAAAAGGAAGTAGAGTCAAGGTACGCCTCTGAGCCATATTCAACCATCCCAGTTCAGGTAGTTTGTGGGATACTATTTGTGTTCTGACAGAGATCAGGTTTAAAATAGGCATTAATTTGAGTGTCGTCGTCTTAAAGATGATATTGACAATAACTTAACGACTTCATGAAATTAAAAGAGTATAGGCTATACAATAATGGACCCAAAATACTGCCCTGAGGCACCTCTGATGTAATTGTAACTGTATCTGATATGTTCCCGTCCAAAGTCACGCGCTGCTTCCTTTCAGATAAAAAAGAACTTATTAATGCATAGGCAGGTTGCTCAAACTCAATATATTTCAGAATAGCCACTACTATGGCATGATTAATCATATCAAATGCTTTTGTGTAGTCCAATAACATCAAGACAGTAGCATTTCCCGCGTCCTGTTCTCTGATGAAATCATCCACAAGATCTGTTAATGCTGTGGAACAACTGTACCCGGTTCTAAACCCTGACTGTCTAGGGGGACGATATTGTTGGCAAAAACGTAGTTAGCAACTTGTATAGCGATTGCTTTTTCTAAAAGTTTAGGGAGGGTCGATAAAAGTGAGATTGAACGTAGTCGACCAAATTCTGTCGGATTGTTAACCTTAGCCAATGAAAGAACTTTGGCCAGCTTCCTGTTTTTAGGAAAATAAGACCTTTTAATATAACTATCTATAATACGGGTTACTGTTTGTATGTGTGTACTTGAAGAATTATTTAAAGTGATGCGGATGTCACAAAATATACCTAATTAAATGTGATTATATATATACAGGTATATATAAGCAGTAGTCAGTGCCATTGCCAATGACCAGTTGGACAAAAAATACAATTAATTGTTAATTGGGAAATTGGCAAACTTTTTAGGCTTTAGTTAACTCTTTTGACGGTAATCTCTAGCTTTCGGCAATTCTCTATGGAGCCTTCAACAGGAGCTGAAAATACAATTATGATGCCAGCAACCAACACAGGAACGATTTAAATTGTCAAACAACTTACTCGTCGTTGAGGTTGCAGCCAAATGGTGTTTCAAAACGAACGCGTATAACACTATAAATCAATACACCCGAACATATTAAAAATGAACGAGAAGCAATTTTGGGGACAAAGAACCGGAACGTCGTTTCTAACCTCCTACATCCGGTTCACGTGGAGAAGGTGGACGCAACGGAAAGATAATGCGTCGACAGATGACATGTGATTGACGCGACGGAATGTGGAACTGTAAACATCATTGTCAAATTTGGGAATGATGTATACGAGGGACGCTCGGTAAAACCTCATCCTAATTATCGAAATGCTCACAACTTCTTGATGTTAGTATATTTATATGCTGCCAACCTCAGCAATTGTACGCACCTATTAGCCGTATTTCACAAATCATGGATTTCTACGTACATGTCTTTAAAACAGAATGATAGAGAAATGTTTTCCTTCTGCTATCTGGGCTCAGAGGGCTTAACTTGTACTGACCTTATTGGGGAATTTTGAGATATTACTAGATAATCAGCTGTCATTCTGCCATGATGGATACTCGTGAAATAGGGTATATATAATATCTCTATATATGGGTATCTCACCTATGTAAATGTAGAATCCATCATAGTTGTTCAAGCTCTGCATATACAGACCACTCATCGAGTAGCTTGGTACAACATATATCATCCAGATGAAAATTGAAGGTGGTAGATTCACCAGAGACTGAAAAAGAGAGGTTAAGTATCAGTTTTCATGAATGACGTTATTTCGTCAAAAATAGGCAGGTGCTTATGAAACATCTTGAAGGTAGCTTATGTATAAGAACATTCTGAAGAAATCAAACATTCCGTATATCAAAGTCCGATAAAATAGACGGAAATTGCACATATCACAGAAAAAAAAACATGCGTACAGAGGCCTAATGCAGTGAAAAGTTGATCTATTTCACAATTTTTAATAGACGACCGTTAATTGATGACAAAATTTAAACGATGATGAAACGCATGAAACTGAAGACAGGAGTTAGTCGCAATTTCCATGTGGAACCTTACCTTTGTAAAAACGTAAGTAAACCTCCCATACAGCCCATCACTGATATCCCTCTCTACAGTCTTTTTGTTCCTGGATAGCTCTTTGACAGTTAGGTACAGCAAGAGTGGCCAGAGCATCACACACATAACAGCGTAGTGGTAGCCCTGCCTGTCGTTAAGCTCCAATTGGGGATCAGATCCTGGCACGTCCCAAAATATTGCTCCTACCACCAGGGATATGCTGGCGGAAAATACAATGAGGCTCAGCCAGTTGAGGAATGTGACGGGTTGAGTGTAACACATGGCCTTCCTGTGAAAATTAGGCATACATTTAGTATAGTAGTCTCGTTAAGTAGTCATACAGTTGAAAAGTTTGGTCAAAAACCAAGAGCGTACGTGTTTTCACTAGCATGGGCGCCCACAGGAATTTTTCTCGAGTCAAGAGGCAACCTAAAACTTTATATAAATTAAATAAAAACATAGTGTTTTGCGTTATAGCGCAAGTATTTTCGAAACGTCACACATAAGTTTTTTTTAGACTTATTTTCGAAGTTGCGGCCCCACCTTTTTGCTTCCCACGCCTACTGGCGACATGATATCACGAAAAACCATCAGTCTGCCCGCTAATTCTTGGACCGCGCATAACTTGGAAAGTACTGCTCGGGTTTGGATGAATATTTTACACAAGGGTACTACTATGCCAAGGAAGGAAAAGCTTTGTAGTTTTTGAAAATCAGTCAAGCGACAGTGCAGCTAGGGGCAAAAACGAAAAAAAATCTCACAACCCTCGTTTTTTGACGTTGCAGAGGAATTTCCAGAATTTTTTTGTAGTGGTTGAAAATTGGGGGTTGTAGGGAGTGAGGGAAGATATATCTTATTTTGTTGACGGCTTTTTTTCATACGCTTCCAACCCCAGTGATTTTAAGCACCTATAACTTAGAGAAATATTTACAGACCAGACACGCGATTGGTCGAGACGATACAATGCACCGCGACTTTCTTCGCTGAACCCTGCTTTGCGCCTGACATCACCAACAGGGATGTTATAGTACGGGAAGAGCAGTATATTCGGAATACTGTAGGTACCTTGGAATACTTAGTTATCTAAATAAATGTAAACGATATGTGTATTTTTTGCCGTGAATGTAATGTCGTAAGTCACATGAAACCACAAGTACTAAAAACATGACGTCATCTTGACATTTTCTGCCACGAGGCGGCTACTTTAAAAACATTTTCGGTAAGAATGCAATCATTAATAATCATTTACTATGACACGTAAAATCTTCATTGCTATTATTTCATCTGTTATGTGTCCTTGGTCATTTACAAATTTATTTTGATTTTGTGAATATACAGGGTACGGCAGAGAGTATGGACGGTTTTAAAAAAATCATAAAATAGTTAATTTTTACACGAAAACAAATTTATTGATGGAATCAGGTTCACAAGGGAATAGCATTTGAGACAGTCAAGAGTGGAAAATCACATCAGGCATGTGGTGGCCGAAATCGTTGATGCAGTGCTAGAGGCGTTCTTGGAAGTTCGCGTAGACTCTCTCCAACATCGCTCTCTCAACTTGGGCGACTTCCACGCGAATTTCGCCCTTCAATTCGTCCAGAGTTCGGGGCTTGTTCGCGTATACTCTAGCCTTGAGGTTCTGATTTTGATCGATCAGTGCTTCCATCTCACGTGCGAAGTTCATTCGTTGTGCATAATCTCCGGGCTGTAACTGTTGCACAATGGCCAATTTGTAGGGGTGGAAGCGGAGATCCATATGCAAAATTCACCTTACCGAACGATCACTAAGGCAAAGTGCAGCAGCATGTTTCCAGACAGATCAAGTCGGACTGTGAAAAAAGACCTGTCGAACGCGTTCAACATTTTCAGGAGTTCGAACTGTTCGCGGCGCCCCTCTTGGTCTTCTGTTGATCAGTTCACCATGCCTGTGATTCAACCCAACGAAGGATGGTGTTTCGAGAGGATGAATGTTGAAGTGGCGACGAAACTCACGCTGTACGACGATGACTGACTCATTATTTCGGACAAAACAATCATAGGCGAAAACGCGGTGCTCCACCGTCCAAGGCTCCATAACGACAACTGGTAAAATAATGCTAGGATCTCACGAGTCAAACGGCACCTTCCCCACCTCTCTCGTAGACGGAGGCGGAGAGTACTACCCATCCCAAAACCGTCCGTCCTCTGTGCCGCACCCTGTACTTAAAATTGAAAACGCGACATGGAATCTTAAGTTAGGATGTCATATTGTTAATTTGGAATAGGTACATTGCTAAATGTGCGAATTGTGGGTACACGCTGCTTGTAGTGGTTATGAATCCGGTGTGTATATCTGTGATTATTGTAAGAACAGTAACTAAGAACACTAAACTATAAGTTCAGGCTAACTACTGATTTGTGATCATTGTGACTAATTACTTAGTTTTTTATTTTGATAAGTGTTTTGATGGGATTCCAGGTTTTTGTTTTGTTTGATTGTATAAATCATTAAAAATTAATAATTATAAAATAATTTAATGCATTCTTTATTCTGCTATCCCGCTTAAAAAACAAAACGACTATTCCAACTATGCTACAGTTCCTCTATCGTGGCTAGCGCTTTTGACGTGATTGACTGGTATGGTCGAGCTGCGTTGCCAGATGGTCGATATTTACGGTAAGGAAGAAACTAGTGTTAGCATTTCAAATGGATGGGGAGTATGAAGTATGTACTAATTGTATAGGGGCCCGTTTGGATGACTTCACCCATTTAATTCCTTTGTTATATATATTTGTAGCTAGCTCAAAGCGACTAACTTAAGCCGACCATAATTCTTTATGAACTGATGACAACATTTTTGTTTTTTATTTTAAGATATTCTCTAATGAGCAAAAATAGTAATTATTCATATAACAAATACTCACGTGAATAAAACGAACGCCTGGATGAAAAAGTTCGACTTCTTGACTGTCATGGGCAACGCGGATGGGGGACCAGGATCGCTCAGAGGTTCCTGCTTTTGCCTAAATATTTCTGCTAATTGTTCTATTCTTTGGGACGATTCTAGCATCGCTTCTGCTGATAGATCGTCCAGAGTGACTAAATCCACTGGAAATAAGAATACATGTTGAAAAGGGTGCCAGAGCGAACTGAGACTATTCTGTTTCCAATAAATGTCTTTATGACATACTTTTCCCGTTACTTAAGATATTGCTGTATCCTCTTGGATCCATTATTCTTCATATGAGAAAGTAAGGCATCTAACAAAGAAACACTCACAAAGAATTTAATTAAAGCAGTTAAAATTTAAGGTGATCCAATTAAGAAATTTAATCAATTGTGTGACAGCTAACAACTTTAATTAGTTTAATCTTCGATTTCTGAAACAGTTTTCCTGAATATATGAAAGGTTTAATTGAGTGAACCCGCAGGTGTTTAATTGAATTTAGTAAACCATTTATTTAGATTGTGTACATCAACTTATTTAAAATTAATGAGTTTACTTATTTGGAGTAAAACGATTTAATTATGTTTATTAAATTTGTTTAATTAGTGTTTAATATTTGGAACTTGAAAGAACAAATTGCATTTAATTGAATGGTGTATATCTTAGATATCAGAAAAATTGAGAAACTTTATGCTAATAATTAATATTTTTGAATCCAAATAAAAATTTACAAGTTTTGTCATCCTAATTAAAGTTTTATTAATGACTTGTCCTATTATCCAGAAACATGATATAATATATCACCATTCATTGGATGGAAATTCTTTAAGTTAAAGTCCGAGATTAAGGAAAGGGATACCTGAAAATGAATGAGGCCACTTGATCGTACAGTATGTATGAAATTATGTATACAGAAATTGTGCTTTACTTTCTAATAGTAAGACAGTATTGCACTTACATGAATTCAACGCATTTACACATAAATAGATTCGATATCACTTTAAGCAAACTATAATATTTTCAAATGCTACAACGTTCTGCCCTTTCCGTCATGTCAGCAGTGACTTGCCTATACCGAGTGTTAGGAGCGAGAAATACTCGTATTCTATGGTTATGGGCCACTGAGCGCATTATGTACCATATTTCACTTGATCATCATAATTGATCCCCTTCAAAACTACTACACCAACAACAGTACATTCAAATATGAAGCTAGTTACGAACATTTCAAATGAAACTGAGGAGTTCGAAGTGCGTCACCGGCACTACGCCTGTCGACTACTTCCGATCATTGACGAATGAAGGGCCGAGTCCTGACGATCTCGCAATTCAAATAAACAGTTTAAATGTTTTTGTTAAAATGTTTATTTGCCTTAAATGTACTCTTTCTACATAAGCTAAGTTATCTAAGCTAATTAGACAGTGTGATAAAGCAGGTACATGATTTGCTATTTTCAAGCAAATTAGTTTAATAGTATATTATTTTCAATTTAATTAAACATAATGATTCACTTACTCGGAATAATTGAGAAAGTGAGAAAGTTTCAGTTTGATTAAACTGAATAATTTGGTTACTTGGAATAATTAAAAAAAGTATTACGGGTGATGAAAATTTTCTTCATGGACTTTCATGTCAAGTAACTAGTATTTCAGGTCAAGAAAACGATGGTCTTTTATTACACTGTGTCTATGTTTAGATATTCTTTGGAAGGCAGCAGGTTTGAACCAAGGATATAGAGATCTGGATACAAGAGTACAGAATATTTGAAATAAGTTATAGGTTCATCGATTTCGAATGTTACGTATCAGAGTCATATGAAATAAGAAAATTAAGCGTCTAACTATACTATACCAACTATACCAATGAAACAAAATTGCGCAGTGAGCTGAACAAACATCCGCACACAGATCCAGAATACATGTGCATTTAAGTGGAAGATAAAAGTACCGCGAGTTTAAAATTGGTAGAGAACGATACATTCTTTATTTCTGGGGTGTGCCGTACAGAGATTAGCTCCTTATTTGAAGGAATTCTGCCTCTATATAAGGGGTGTTTTTTTAGAGGTATAGAACTTTAAATCGCAACAAAACAACGATGGATTATTCGACTGACATGCATTTTTTATTCGAAAGATAATCTTGTGCCATTACATTTTAAATATGATTTCTGGCATATGACTGTCACGGCTGGCTCGGATGTAGTCCAATCTGGACGTCCAGTTTTCGATGACTTTTTCCAACGTTTGTGGCCGTATATCGGCAATAACATAGCGAATGTTGTCTTCCAATGACTTTACATAGCCCCACAGAAAATAGTCTAGCGGTGTTAAATCACAAGATCTTGGCCAATTCACAGGTCCAACACGTGAAATTAGGCGGTCACCAAACGTGTCTTTCAATAAATCGATTGTAGCACGAGTTGTGTGACATATTGCGCCGTCTTGTTGGAACCACAGCTCCTGGACATCATGATTGTTCAATTCAGGAATGCAAAGTTAGTAATCATGGCTCTATACCGATCACCATTGACTGTAACGTTCTGGCCATCATCGTTTTTGAAGAAGTACGGACCAATGATTCCACCAGCCCATAAAGCGCACCAAACAGTCAGTTTTTCTGGATGTAACGGTGTTTCGACATAGACTTGAGGATTAGCTTCACTCCAAATGCGGTAGTTATGTTTGTTGACGTAGCCATTCAACCAGAAGTGCGCTCCATCGCTAAACAAAATACGCTTATGAAAATCGGGAACAACGGCGATCTCGTTTTGGGCCCATTCAACGAATCTACGCCTTGCTTGATGATCGTTTGGCTTCAATTCTTGCACGAGTCGGTTTTTGTAAGCACGCAAACCAAGATCCTTCCGCAAAGTCTTCCATAAAGTGGATGAATACAGATCTAATTCCTGTGCTCGATGGCGGATGGACTCATCCGTTTCTTCCTCAATGCTACGCTCTACAGTAACAATAGCTTCTTCTGTACGCACCGTACAGCGTCTCTGGGGATGCGAGTTATCAATTAGAGTGAACGCGGTGTGAAAACGTTCCATGGTTAATCGAATTAACTGCTCTGATGGACGATTTTGTCGACGATAATAGAGACCTAGTGCGCGATACGTATTCCGCACAGAACCATTATTTTCGAAATAACACTGCCCAATGTGCAAGCGTTGTTCTGGCGTGAATCTATTCATGATGAATTGCCAAACCAAATTGAGAATAAATCACTTGACCGCTGTCAAATCTGTCGCCATCTTTAACAGTAATGCCAACTTAAAGTTCTATACCTCGAAAAAAAAAACACCCGTTATAAGTGTCTATCATTGGTCTAACGGTTTGTATTCAGGATTCTTGAAGACCTTATGATATGCCTTTATCTTTCTCGGTGCACCCGATGTAGTACTCACAATAATAATCTGAGGGGTTCTTATATGATGGGCATGGGTACTCGACCATGGCGAAATATGGCAACATGTCTCTCCTCCGTCCACTGAACATTGTTCTGCCGGCAGATATGAGCAGGATCCTGGAAAGCATCGTGAATATCTCGTATGTGGGGGGATGCATAGTGAGAATAACAATGCGACCTAGTGCATTTCCGGCGCCGCCGTTTGCCCATTGTTTCAGGTACTCGACGAGAAAGAACGTGTCGAAGATATCCATACCTTTAAGAAATAATAAAGTTTCTTTATACAGTAATATCAATAAAAGCTTCAATGATTCTAACTAAATACATGACAATAGATGACAAAATAGTACATTCATCGCAATAGACAATGAGAGTACAATTGTGAAGGCATAATATACCCGAGTATCCATCACGCTAGAATGACAGCTGGTTATCTAGTAGATAATATTACAGATTATACACAAAAATGTCACTTGCTGATGAGCCGTTCACCTCGGTAGACGTCATAGCGTGATGGATACTCGTGAAACAGGGTATATAGAATACAATAGGCGATGTTAGGTTTACCCGCAAACGTCAAAACACTAATGAACAGGCAACAATTTGTTTAAAAGAATACCCATGAAGTAGGGCTTATTATGTTCAAAGATGGAACAAAATATTCCGTGGAATGCTGGCTGCAAAAAAGTTATCTACAGTATATTCAGATAAGAGATAGACCGGATGTAAACAAAAGGTTCGGGTGATTTTCACGCTAACGCCGCCGTCTCGACGTAAAACAGGAGCCCTCATTGGTCAATTCGCAATTAAATGCCTATGCCGAGCGGCAGAGCAGTCGTATCAAGGCAGAGTCACATTCAGGTTCAGACGTGTTACGTATGTCGTGTGCATCATTGCAATTTGATATTTCTTTGGACGTTTTCGTTGGTTATCTTATTAAGTTGTTGAGTTTGTCGTTGTTATTGTTATACCTTGTTATTGATTGTTATTGTTATCAACTGCTTGCGCAAAATGCCTAGTAGTACAGATACTGCCGATGAAGTTGTAAACTCCTGTAGTCCACCTAGGAAACGCTCTAAAAAAAGACACCTGAGTGCAGAAATGAAAGAGGTCATTTTGAATATATATAAGATCGGGCGCGAGGAGAACGAGGCATCAACCATCAAAGAAATTGTTGTGAAGGTTTCTCACAAAGTTGGGGTGTGTCGCGCATCAGTGTTTAATGTGTTAAGACAATACAAAAAAAATCACACCTTTTCTGAGCCAATGACCAGTAAACATCGCAAAAGTATTGTTAAATCATTGGATGAAGCTGATAAGCATGCAATTAGGAGGAAAGTGCATGAATTCTTCTTTAGGAATGAAATACCTACTATAGATAAAGTACTGCAGGAGGTAAATGGAGATACAACGTTGCCAAATTTCAAACGATCAACTTTCCATGCGTTACTGAAGCATTTAAATTGCAAATGGAAAAAACGGGGTCGTAATAGTTTACTACTGGATAGAGAAGAAATTGTGCTATGGAGGAGGGATTATTTAACAAAAATTGGGAAATATAGAAATCAAAACAGGAAGATTTATTACCTTGATGAAACGTGGGTAAACGCAGGTTACACTACAAGTAACGTATGGGTTGATGATTCTGTAACTTCATCCAGGAGGGCCTTTCTAGATGGACTGTCCACCGGATTAAAAAATCCAGCAGGTAAATACGAGTAATAGACAACAATCGGATGTTTTTCAAACCTTGGGAACAAGGTTCTAAACATTAATTCCAGGGGGCAGATAAAACATATTACAAGTAACAAAACTTTTATAACTTTCGATAAAATGCGTGGATGTTTTATTGTCATTTTCACTTGTTAGAACTTTTTTAAGCCATGTTTTTATGTGTTTTCGATATTTCAATAATTTTTTAATATAATCTTCAAATATGTCGAATATTATAAACTTAAAAAAAGTTACTAAGTTTTATATTGTGTACCGTTCCTAATATTTCTAATCATTTTAATTCATACTTTAAGCTTTATAAAGTTATAATTTGTTAATATTAATATTTGCGCGTATTTCAGGTTCCTGATCATTCATTTTTTAAAGGTTTATAACTTTAAATTAAATTGTGAAGCGCTGAGTAATCATACGACGTTCAATATTCTTTCTTTCAATATGACTAAATAATCCCAATTATAGCAATCTGATACTCATGTCTCAATGTTTTTTCACTGAATGTGATGAAAACATTTGAAAAACGTTCGCTTATTGAAATAAATCTACACCAGTTAGTACTTCGATTTCCAGGTAAAGGGAAAAGGCTCATTATCTGCCATATTGGCAGTGAGGATGGATTTGTTGTTGACGGACTGTGGTGCTTTGAGTCTAAGAAAACTGGAGATTACCACGAGGAAATGAATGGCGAATCGTTTGAACAGTGGTTTTCAAAAATTTTACCGAACTTAGAGGAAAACGCAGTAATTGTGTTGGATAAATGCGCCTTATCATTCTCGAAGAATGGAGAAGGTCCCAACAACGGCTTCAAGGAAAGTTGATGTTCAAAATTGGCTCCGCTCGAAAAATATCAACTTTGAAGAAGCAATGCTGAAAGTACAATTATTAAGAATTGTCAAGGATCACAAGGCGGAATATCAAAAATACGCCATTGACGAAATGGCAGCAAGTCAAAATAAAACTGTGCTCCGTTTACCTCCATACCATTGCGAGCTCAATCCCATTGAGCTCATATGGGCAGAGGTTAAAAATTATATAGCTTAGCACAATACAACTTTTAAATTTTGTGACCTCAAAGGACTTTTCAAAGAAGCACTAGAATTAATAACAGCGCAAAAATGGGAAAACTGTATTAAGCACGTGAAAGACAAAGTTGAGGATGTGGGAACTGGACAATATTTTAGAGGAACAAGTCGAGCCATTCATTATTGACGTTGGTGCTTCAGGCAGTAGGGATGATGAAAGCTCTTCAAGCTCATCTTTCCAATAAAAGATGTCGTTCATCAAATTCGGTAAGTTATAAGTAATTATAAAGCTACTGTATTTTTTAATTAATTATTGTCATTTTTGAACCCATTTTGGCAAAACCTATTCAAGAATCTACTTTCTGACAATGTTCAACCATGCACATTTTTTTACGTTTTGAACGTTTTAATTTGGTTACATATTTACCTAGAAATCAAAAAATATACTAATCAATATTCTAAAAGCAATTTTAAGAGATATACGATTATTTTTAATTTAGGCTAATTTAAACGCTATTTTGAGATTATATTCGACTGTATTTCACCAAACATCAGGCGGCATCCGAAGCTGGAAATCGAAGCGAAAATTTTGAAACCCTTATGTATATTTACATCATTATATATTTCTTACCCCACCCCCACATGATCCTATATCCATCACCAATCGTATACACATCGAATTGTGCTAATTTACTACAAAGTTACGCAAAGCAGCATCTACTATCTAAAATATGTACTGCGTGACTCTTAATACGTCCCTGCCGAATGTTACAGCGTTCGATGATCACGTGGTCTTGTTTATGTCCGGTCTATCTCTTATCTGAATATACTGTAATACAGTTATACGTGGAAGTACAATACGAAGGTCTATCGTATGTACTACAGTACCTGTATTGTTAGTCAACGTGATATATGAACATACCTCTAGTAGGCTGATCTAATACAACTATGTCCGTGTCCAAGATTAGGTGACACGCGACGTTCAGTCTTCTTTTCTCCGATATGGTCATTGATGATACTTTAGTGTTCTTAACTTGTTCTAAGCCCAAATCTTCTATTAAAACATTTATCTGAAAAACAAGGTTATTTGATAACTGGTGCATATTGCGCGGAGAGTGGAACTATTTTAGGTTCTATATCAAATTCATTATAGCGAAGTGAAAACAGTTAAAAAACTGCTGAACTGAGATTCACTGTTCATAAAAAAGCAACATCTAGGTAAGTATTGAAGTTGTTGATGATCCAGTCCTTGTGAATATATTATATTACATGAGTTCCAGAGACAAGCACGAAAAATGTATCGAGGAGTGCGATAACTCACCCTATCCATGGCATCAATTTTTAGATATCCTAATTTGTCTGTAGGTTTTTTGAGATCATAGTGGTATCTCATTGTTTGCAGGACTGTCATATCTTTACATAGGTTTAGGTCGTTCTGTACATATGCAACTCGAGATCTGCAACAATAAAAATATATTAACATCGTTAAATTGGAAATGCCATATTTCATGCAAACTCTACGGTGTGGACCCAAGACATTACTTGCATCAGAAAATGAGGGAGTTTCATATTTTTTGAAGCACACTTAAAATGATAGTAAAGTGAAGTACAGTACTAAAAACATTTTTCGAATATCTTGAAAAATGCCAAAGTTACGCTACCCAAAAGCTTCGTATGTGGAGAACTGTCTTGTTGGAGAGCGAGATTGAGTGATGACGTCACATGACACCAGCTACCGTCGGTACCAGAAAGCAGTGCGCGCTTCGAGTCTTTTGCAATCGTTGCTCTACTCCGTATTTACGATTTACGATCAAACCGGTCAAAAATGGGTCAGACCATCCAGTTAAGGCGGGTTCTCATTCGTCAAACGTATCGATCAATAAAAATGAATCTATGCCATTGAATATAGAGTTAAATGGTAAATGTTCACATTAGACTAATTCATATTGCATAGATTCATTATTATTGATCAATAAAATTGACTAGTGAGAACGCGGCTTTATATGATAAAAAAGATCAAAATAAATATTACTGTATATGTATATGATGATGTATAAAGAACCTAATTGATACAAACGAGAACAAGGATAGATTTCATTGCCTTTATTTCGAGTCAATGTGAATATTGTTATAGTGATCATTTTGTGGCTGAAGGGGGATATTTGAACCATCTCCAGGTCGATGTGGACATGCATAGGCGTGTTTCAGGAACCAAAAAACCTGCCAAGAATGCAAAAAAATTGTTACGTTTCAAAATAAAAAATTGTACTGAGATGTGGAAAATGTTTTGTGGAGTGGGAGGTGTGTATAGCTTTCCTTGCATTACTCGCCAAATCGACTCATGCCACAATAAGATAACAATGTGCAATTAATATTTCTTTTCGTAATTAGTGAGCCCAGTGGCCACTCTATTTCGAATAGTAGCATATTTATCAGGCACCCAGTTAATATAGCGACTATGTTAGCAAAAATGGTTTGATCGAGCTCAGAATTAAAAAAAATTGACGATGGCGCTCAAATAACAGTTTTATACGTTCTCAAGGTAATATTTTATGTGTTCTTGTATAATTTCGCTTAATGATAAAACTTGCAGTCAGCTGCAGCCAAGATTGACATATTTCTTAAAACCGCAATTTCGATGTTTGGACAATCGATATCAAGTCCATAATTAGCGACCCTGTATTCATTTAAAATTAAACTTGAGCTCAATGAAAGCATTTCTTCGAATATTTCCTCCATGTATAAAAAATGATATAAGAGGTGTGGAATTATCGCAAAATTACCGCGAAAATTTACCGTTACCTAGACAACAAGAAATTTCCAATAAAAGTTGCCCAGTAAGTATTGAAAATTTCCCAATTAGGTCCGTATCTATAGCTAAGATCGATGAAATGTGCATTTGTCATATTGGGAAATATTCTACCGCATTACATTCGTGCATCAAAATAAACCTGATAATATTGTCACGTGCTAAAATCGCGTAACCTTTCTTTTTACTGTTTTGATCACTCATGAGTAATTTGAATTTCTCTTTATTGATTATAGAGTGCCCATTCCTAGACCAAACCCTTTTTAATGATTTTCTTTTGTCAAATTCCATAGTTTATTGATTGTAGAATTTCTCACGTATTATATCTGTCATTCTCAGCGACTCAATATTGTATTAAAATCTTTCTTCTATCTGAGAAATTTCCTCATAAAATATTGTTGGTCCCTCGTGGACAGATTTGTTTCTGCCGTCCGTCGTTCTGCCCAGTGGCAACCAGCGCGCCAACTTGTGACTTTAGACGTACTAGCAGTATAGGGACATTTCGTTCTATCCACATACCTTCTTCAAGGCCCATCTTTTAATGTTTACTTTCCGATCAAAATACCTTCTGCTAAAATTTGATTTACTATCAAGTTACCTTCTTTTGAAATGTGATTTGCTATCAAAATACCTTCTTTTAATTGCGTAACGACGCGTCCAGCGCCATTTTACTTTTGCTTTTCCGTTGTGATTTTGGTTGTGTGCGGCCGTCTTTTCGTTAACTCCCAGAATTTGGGATATTAACGCCCCAAACACAAGTATATGGAGTAGTACCCTTCTATTTTGTACCTTACGTTTAGTTGTTTTGGTTAGGGTAGGTACTACCCCATCCATTTTGTAATGGGATTTTAACCTCCAGCGGTAATTTCTCTTTTGTATACCATCGGACTACGTCCTTTAATGCTTGCCCTGAAGAAGTTTGTTCAATTTCTGATTCCTTTTAGTGGAAAGCCATTATGGAGAACCACCATTCACACTTACCCAGCTTTGTTTTGTAGCTGTTTCGCAGCCGATTTTGTTGGAAGCCATCTCTCCCCCTTTATAGAAACCCTGATGAACAGGTAACATATCATTTTAATTGGGTATTTTATAGGTATTAATATATTGATTGCCGCTGATTGAAATTCTTTTGTGTAATCTTGATTTGTTTGGCATTTTACGTATTCCAATATAGGGTAGTGAATACATGTCACTGTATTTTGGCCTTATTACATTACATTAATCATGATTTTGAATTTTGAGCTGCTATAACATATTTTAGTTTTTGAACAATTGTTGCGATGATATCATGTACAAAAGGCAAAAATTAAATTCATTAAATCCTATTTAGGCAATTTATCTAAATTTTAACGCGTCTTAGGCCCGTATCATCAGTCGTCCCTACAATTGTAGGGCTCGTTTATGGCCTCCTTGATTGTCATACTCCTTTCTTTCCTTCAAAAATTTCTAGATTACACTTGTCCCGTGTCAGCGTCAGCACTCTCGTATTGTGAAGATATGTTTTCTTTTTAAATTGTAGGAAATTTCAGGCTGATAAACCATGATATAACTCAAAAGCAAGCACAATTTGATGCAAATAGATGTTTGTGACATAACCTCAAAATAGAGTTCTGACATGGAGAAGCAGAAAACTATGACAATCAAGGAGGCCATAAAGGCGCCCTACAATTGTAGGGATGACTGACGACACGGGCCTTAGGGACGTAGTGCCATAGTGACACTTTTCCGGATATGGGTCCCTATACTCAAATGTTTTCTACTGTTACACTGATTAACCCCTAGAAGTTTGATCCCATAGTTCTGAAACACCCTGTATATCTATAATACTGCACAGCTGTCTATGCCGAGATACAAACAATATATTGTGACTATTATATTGGGCGCTAAGAATAAATGCGATATGCAAGGGTCGTCGCCTCGTTCGGCAGCGAAATGGCGTAGCTCAGAAACCGAACGTATGTCGTGTTTGTGTCGTTGCGACCGAATCTCGACGCCTGAGGGCGGTCGGCTACAGCATGCAACACAGAAAATGTGGAAAACGCCAGCTATACTATTATACGCAAGGAAACTAACGAAATTTCCGACTATAGGTAACTTGCTAATTACTGAAGGACAACTTAACTGCGTGTTTAGAGCACTTACTCGAGACTATTTGCTCTCACGTTTTGTCCATTGAGAAGGATACTACCCAAGACGGGAACCCTGAGCCCTGCCACAAGATCTAATAATGCAGTTCCTTCTTCCTCTGACGTCGCCATCACAGCCATTATTTCTCCTCCGCGCATTTCAAAGGAGATTTCGTTCAAGAGGAGGTGCCTTGAGGAGCTGAAACACGACCCTGACGAATCTGGAAAAACGCCTACACCACAAACCTGGAAAAATAATTCATGTTAGAGTAAATTTGGATTAATCGTATTATTTTGCATATTTCACGAAATAACCTATCTGAAACACAAGTCGTTGAGTTTGCTTACATACGTTTGTTTGTTGAGCATATATGGCACTTTATTTCACTATTATTGATACTCTACATATTATGATCCTGTTAGCTTCAAAGTTGGTGGTTGGATTAAAATATACCTAATATTTAATAACAAGATATATATAATTCAGCGCTTCAGGCCTGAAGGCCCATGGCTTCTATCTTTTTGACAACTTCTTTCCACGCTTTTCTATTTTTGGTCTTTTCCTCCCAGTCTGGTATGCCTAGTCTTTGTATATCCTCTTTGACACTTTCCAGCCACTGCTTCTTCGGTCTTCCTCTTCTTCTTCTACTACCTTCTCCTCCAAACAAAACTTTTTTGGCATTCCTATGAGACGGCATTCTGTAAACGTGTCCTAACCAGCGCACTCTTTGAGCTCGGGCTTTTTGTATTATACTGGGTTGGTTATACATCTCCATCAGTTCTTTATTAGTTCGCTTTCTCCATGTACCATCGTTGTTTTTTGTGCCCCCATATATTTTACGTAACATTTTTCTTTCCCAGCGTTCCAATTTCTGTACGTTTTTCTGGCTTAACACCCAAGCTTCATCGCCGTAAAGTACTGATGGTTGGATAACTGATTTATATATCCTTTCCTTTGTTTTCCTTGATATCCACCTCGAGTTTATCATCTTGCTTAAAGCCCCCATTGCTTTACTCCCTTTTGCTATTCTTTTTTCAATTTCTAAATCTTCTTCTGCTTTATCTGTTATTGTAACCCCTAGATATTCAAATTGATTCACCTTCTCGAAACAGTATTCTCTGCAACTACTTCTTATTGTTAACTTTCCTTCATTGCTTCCTCTCATTTCAAGGTATTTTGTTTTGTCTTCATTTATATGAAGCCCAAAACGTGTGGCAGTTTCTTCTAACCTTCTAAACGTCTTCTCAAGTTCTGCTTTGGATCTGGTTATTATTGCTATATCATCGGCATAAGCAATCAACTGATGTTTTCTATAGTAAACAACTCCGTCGGTTTGTATACCACAATTACGTAAAATAGCTTCCAGCGTAAAGTTAAACAATGTTGTAGATAGCGGGTCCCCTTGTCTTAGGCCTCTCGTTACGCCAAAAGCTCTAGATGTTTTCCCTTCCAATGTGACTTTGTTCATTGTCCCGTTCATTGTCATTTTGACTAACCTTATCAGTTTACTTGGTAATCCCAGCAGTCTCATAGCTTCATATAATTTTTCTCTGTCAATGGAATCATACGCTTGCTTGAAATCAATAAATAATGCATGTAAACCAAGATTTTGTTCATGGCTATTATAGAACAGCAGTTTCATTGTAAATATTTGGTCGATTGTGGACCTGCCTCTTCTAAAACCTCCTTGATATTCACCTATAACCTCATTTTCATATATGCTCAATCTGTCCCTTAGTTGAAATGCTAGTATCTTATATGCAGTGTCTAACAGGGCAATGCCTCTATAGTTTTCACATGAACTTTTATCACCTTTTTTGTGTATTGGGCAGATTACGGCGTTTTTCCATTCATCTGGTAGTTCCTCTTGATTCCATATATATCTGATCAGACTTCCAAGTCGCTTGTGTAAATCTTGTCCACCCGCTTTTATTATTTCTGCTGTGATTCCATTTTCTCCTGGACTCTTATTGTATTTTAATCTTCCTATTGTTTCCTCTATTTCCAGATCCGTTGGTTCGTGTATTTGTCCCTGATTGTCATCTTCGATTAGTGGTGCTGCTTCCGTGTTCCTTTCCTCTTCGCCTGATAGCTTTAACAGTTCCTCAAAATGTTTGGCCCACCTTTCTAATTTTCCTGGAATGTCACCAATTAACGACCCATCTTTGTCTTTATAGAAGCAAGAAGACCTTTGACTACCCAATTTGCTTCTTCTTACATCCTGATAAAAGTTCTTAATGTTTTTGTTGATCATGTGATTTTCTATCATTTTCAAGCCCATTTCCCAGTATTCACGCTTTTTCTTTCTACACATCTCTTTCACTTTTCGTTTGGCTTGCTCATATCTTTTCCTTGACTCTGTTGTTCTAGATACATCCATTTGTATTTTTGCTTTCTGTCTTTGTTCCAATTCCCGTTTACAGTCATCATCGAACCACTCTTTGTTTTTTCTAGTACTCGTTTTTCTCATCATCTGTTCTGCTACATTAGTGATTATTGCTTGAATATGATTCCATTCCTGATTAATATCCTGTACAACTGGTGTGTTTTGCAGTACTGTCGCTATTGCTTGTTCAAGTTGCTGTCTCACTGACGTATCTTCTAGCGCTTTTGTTTCGTACCTTTTGATTGTCTTCTGTCTCTCTAACTGTTTCTTCGGGATTTCTTGTTTTATAACAGCTACTACCATAAAGTGATCCGTATCACTATCTGCACCACGGTAACTTCTAACATTGTGTATATTGCAGGCATGCTTGTTTTCGATCAGTACGTGGTCAATTTGATTCGCAGTATTACCACCTGGTGAGATCCATGTTGTCTTGTGGATATCTTTCCAGTCAAAATAAGTGCTCATTATCTTGAAATTTTGTTCAATTGCAAAGTTAATCAGGAGTTTGCCATTTTCATTTGAGAGTTCATGTTTGCTTTTCCCTCCTGTAACGTTTCGATAAGTGTCTTCACGCCCAACTTTTGCATTGCAGTCTCCTAATATTATTTTGATATCGTATTTTGGTAGACTATTTATCGCGTCATCTAACTGTTGATAAAAGTCTGTTTTGATATCCATATCCTTGTCTTCACTTGGGGCATGTACATTGATCATTGTTACTTTCCTGTACTTTCCTCTCAGGCGTAGATAACACAATCTTTCCGATATAGGTTTAAATTCTACTATCGTGTCTTTTAGCTTTGCATTTATTAGAAATCCTGTCCCAAAAAGTCTATTTGCACCACCGCTATTACAAAATACGAAATTTTCGCACTGGGATATTCCTGTTTCTTTAAGTTTCGTTTCTTGAAGAGCTAGAACGTGTACTTTATATACGTTCACTATGTTGAGTAAGTTTTTCAGTGCACCTGCTTCGTAGATACTTCTGACATTCCAAGTTGCAATTCTTATTTGCTCTTCTTTAAATGTATACGTACTTAACGTCTTATTTCTTTCGTTATTTTTATTCCTGTTCCCTACCTGTTCCATTGTCATAGCCACATTTTCTGTCGTCTCCAAGATATCCTTTTCTCTAAACATAACTAGTTTTTTTGAATCAATGTGTCTGGTTTCAACACCTGGTCCTTTTTATCCCATCTCCATTTTTCTCCACTGATCAGCAAGTTCATATGACCTATCTTGACTGTATTTCCTTTTGCTTTCTCCGTTTTAGCTCTGTCTCTTATATGCTTTTGAATCATCATCTCATTTTTTGTCAAATCACTGTTTATGTAGATTTTTTGCGTTTTCAAATATTGCACCTTACCTTTGGCTTTCATGATCTTCATTTTAGCATCAAAACTCTTCAACTCCGCAATATAGAGGTTCTCTTTTATTTTTTGGGCGGACTGAATATCTGCCTCTGGAGACAGTCTGGTTTTCAGAAAGTTTTCTACTGATTGTTTTAAATCCTCGTTACCTCCTGTCCCTAGGTTTAAACCCGAGATCACTATATTATTTTTTCTTCTACCTTTCTCTAGGTGCTCTATCCTTTGTTCTACTTCTTCCAACTGCTCAACCCTCTGTTTAAGCATACTGATTTCCTGCATCATGTCTTCGTTTCTTTGTTTAAGAATTGTATTTTGTTCTTTAAGTAACCTCATTTCCTCACGATTTTCCTCCCGAAACCCTCTAAACTCCTCCATACGACTTTTCATCATGTCCTTAATTTCTTCCATCTCCTTGTTAGTAACTCTTTTATTTCTATCTTTTGTCGGGGTTCTTATTATCTTTTTACTTTTTTTAAAGGCTTCTGTCTCTTGCTCTTCAATCCTCTTTCTTTTGCTTCCCTCGTCTGTTGACTCTTCAGTTGCGCTATCTTCACTCTGTCTAGAGCTGATACGGAATGCCGACATCTACACTCTATTATCTCCGCCTATGCTTTTAGTCTTCTATTGTGTATATATGGCTGTCTACGCTGATCCACGCAAGGCGCCGCAGGTACCGATTTCCCGGGTCGACCCCTCGGAGGAAAGATGGTACCGATCAGCTGTTGGCGATTCGAGATTTCTTATTTCAAGTGCAATTGACACTTACCCCGCAGATCTTCGCTTTTTGTTTATTTCAAAGTGTCACAGTTTAACTAATTCACGCTTGACACTACTTTTCAATAAATAAAATGACTCGAAACTGTCCGTAATACGAATTTAATTTCGGAGCCCAGTTTTATATTGTTTACACTCTCAGTGGCGTACTCGATACAAATAACAAGATAATGTATTTTTATAAAATAAGACCCAATAACAAAAGTTCTGATCTGAACCTGCTGCGTGGTGACTGCAATCCTGAGAAACAACTGCACTAGAAATTAACAGGATATCCATGTTATGCGAAGATATATATTCATATCGATTTAACTAAACATTTTAAAAGCATATTGAGGTATTTCCCTGCAGACAACGGTTTCATTGGCTAGTTTAACCCATTTATTATAATATCGTGTCACGAAAGCGGGCATTAACAAAATTATGTCTGTAATAACATTTTCATGCAAAAAGCCGATATTCATTGACATATTATGGCATAGGTAAAACCATTACGTTCTAAAACGAATATAACGGAGTTATAAAATGTGGAATATCTATCCCATAAAATAATATCATGTCCTTTTAATGCCATTGTTAAAATGTATATCTACTATGTTGGAAATGAGACCATATGGACAGTTTCAAGTTTTATCAGAAATCAATGAATGTTTACACGATTTGAACCTTCTATATTTTTCGTAAGTTCGACTTAAATTTGAAAAATGATCCT